GATTTGGCTTTAACAAATACCATTTCCTAGCACAGAATAAGTGGCAAATGGACAGTACAGGTGTGCTGTAAGCATTGGAGAAACTGGGAAACAAAGGAGATGAAACTTAAATTGATTTTTGAAAGAAAGTCAGGATCTAAAACAGGGGTGGGGAACCTACAGCGTGGAGGACACATGTGACCTGGAGGCCACAGGCTCCCAACCCCTGACCAAAGACTTGGCTCTTTTTTCGATCCATGGTGTTTATATCAATGTAAAACATATCCCTTCCCCTCCCCACCCTTGCCTTATTATGGGCGATTTTCCTATAAGTCCTCCATGGAGGATGTACCTAATCTTCTAATAATCTTCTTACTTATCTTCCTTAGACAAAAAGAGAAAAGGGGGAAGCATCCCAGGTGTGTTCAGATGAGCAAAGGCAGTGAGGCAGGAATGTGGACAACATGAAAGAATAGTCTGGGCTGATTACACAGATTCCTTAGAGAAGTACTTGGTTTATACAGTTAGAGGTATGTATCCTTCCCCTGCCTTCCTTGCAAAAGTAAAGAACTATTGATGTGGAATATTACATATAAAGTCAGACTTTTTTCATATGTTGGTAAGTTTTGCTGAACTGTTCCCCCCCCTGGCAGTTATAAGGCATAGCTCTCCAGAAAGGAGGATACATTGGGAAATATAGAAGACCTAAAAACAATAGATATCAATAATTTTTTTTTTTACCATTTTAAATAGGTGTGTGTAAGGGAGTGGTTCTAGAGGGCTTTGAATACCAGATAAAGAAGTGCATGGGCAATGGAAGCCCTTTATAAGTTTTCTGAGCAGGGGAGGCAGAAGAATGACATATGCAAGACAATGTTTTAGGGAGATTAATTTGCTAAGGATGAGTGATGAACTAGAGACAGACCAAGTAGATTACTATTGCAATAGTTCTTATATGAGATAAAGTAGGCTTGGACAAAAATGGGGCAATTTGAATGGAAAGAAAGAAGCAGATATATAAGACATATTATGAAGGAATAATCAATAAGACTTAAAACCTGACTAGACGAATGAATGAAAAACTATTAAGCACCTACTTTGTTCCAAGCTGTCAAGAGGCAATCACATCACGGGCCTTATGTGAAAACCAGGTTTATTACAAGAGAACTGAACATGCATATGGAATCCAAAGAGTTCACAGTCCTTAGAGAAGTTTGCATATTCATGACAGTACAACAAAAGGAGGAGAAAACATACATTTCCACCTAAAGGGGTGTGACATGGGAGGGGAAAGATGCAGTAAAGGTGGGAAAGATGCAGTAAAGTTGGGAAAAGGTCAAAACTCCTCCTGGAGTACCAAGGTGATGGCAAAAGCCACATTCTTTTCCCTTGGAAACCTCTAAACCAGAGGTTCCCAAACTTATTCGGCCTACTGCCTCCTTTTCAAAAAAAAAAATTACTCAGCACTCCCTTGGGGTTAGGTTAACACTGATTTTTATTCAAGGCCCCCCAACTGCACCTGAGGCTACCAGCCCCCTTTGGATCGTTGCAGCACCCCCAGAGAGCAATATCACCCACTTAGGGAACTTATGCACTACATTATGAAGATAGGAGAGTCCTGCTTATCCTGCACAATCACTTTCCCAGCCTGGCACAGATTCACTGGTGCCTATCTTGTCTCCCAAGGACACACAGGGAATCCAGCTTGAGATGCAAACAAATTAGGTCAGCTGGGGTGGTGTTGGGCAGTGCAAAGCTTTGTCCCTGCCACATTCAGAGCCTTCTGCACACTCCGGGTCCAGTGTTTCTGGAAAATATGGCAACTCAAACAAGTTCAGGAAATCCCTTAAACAAAGCACTGTGCTGTCCTGGGGATACAAAATCAAAAGCAGAGATAGACTCTGCCCTCAAAAAGTTTACATTTTAATAAATTAGGAATAGTGGAAGAGGAGACTAAGGGAAAGGAAATAAATCCCAGATTGGACACTAGGTTTGGGAGAAAGATGAGAGTTTAATTTTAGACACGTCAAATTGTTAAGTGATAACTGGATATTTAGTAGATGAAGATTCAAGAACTCACATCTTAAACCAGAATTCCCTGATATACAAATCTCATACATAAAAATGGTCAATCTGTTGCAGTGTGAGAGGTTCAGAAACCCCTCAAAGACTGAGGTACAGGACAGGCACCTGGAATGAATTCACAGACTCAAGCATTCTTTAAGTCAAGGTGACAAGGATTTGCAAAGAGTCTGCCTTGGTGGGCAGAGCTCCTTAGGGAATTTTGCAACCTGACAGGAAGGATGCTAAAGCTTATATAGCAAAAGCAGTAAATTATGTGCCAAATATGCTAATTAGGTGATAACATACAACCTTGGTCATAGGCATCATTCACTACTGGAAATCAGGGGAGGAGGGTTCCTAAGGGGAGTATTTTGGCCCATTATGGTAACTGTGGGCATCAGTACTTGACAGTTCTGCTTATACAAGATAGTCCTGTTCATACAAGGGAAGTTTTACAGAGGTCAGCTTGCTCTTATAACAGAGAGAGATAGTTTGCCTCACTGGGCCTACTCATGAGTTATTGCCAGAGATAGGGTCTTTGGGCTGGGGAGAAAACTGTCAGGGACAGTACCTAGAGGCTAGGAAGAAATATGGTCTTGGAACTGAAGTCCAAGTACAGGCACTTAAGCACCCCATACTACAACTGTGCCGGGGCAGACTCTCTTTGAAAAAATTCTCTAAAGCAAATTTCCCCCTTCTTACCACTTGCCAAGCTGCTCTATTTCACTGCTATGGTGGAAGAGAGGAGAAAAGCACTCATCCAATGTTATCACAATCCTTTCCTTCTCATTTCCCATAGAAACAATGCCATACAATGGTTATTAGGTTCCCTAGTCAGAAGAAGGCCATCTGGTACTATTCATCTTCATTGTGGATTAAATACGTTTTTGGAGGTTAGACTAGAAATCTAATCACAATTTATAATATTGTTTCTATGGGGAAATGTGTGAACTGACCAATTTACAAAGAAGTTTTGGAACACATATAATTTTCAAGTTGCCTGTACTTCTTTGTACATCCATCAAAACAGGCACCTGCAGTATTTAGTGCTATAAAATTAACATATGCTTTATTAGCAAGTATCCCATATTCTTGACTAATGTGCTTTAAAAAACTGTTTTATTGTTTCTAGGATGTGTATTTGGTACAATTTAACAAATATTTATTAAGTAAGAGCCTAATATAGGATGTTCCAAAAGTACAGTTTTTTAAGCACTAAGAAGTTTAGGACACCTTATACTTGACTTGCAAGACACTGTACTGTAAATACAAAGGTGAAAAATGACAGGGGTCTCAGCCTTCAAGAAGTTTGTAATATAGTGGGGGGAGTAGTGTATCATGTATACACACAAGTATGATACAAGTATAAGAATAAAGGAGAGATCTTGACAAAGTGCTGGAGTGGGAACATGGGAATCAGGGAATTCAAAGGGAGAGAGTTATTTAACAGGCAAGAGATAAGGAAAGAATTAACTTCTAGGCCTGGGAGTCAGAGTTAAATAGAGGAGAGATGGGGGAGGAATCTTTCAGGGAAGATAAGAACTAAGGCTCCATTTAGCCTAGGCAAGGGAGCTCAGGCTTGCACAGAAGCAGGGAAAAAGACTAGAGAGCAGCCAGTCAACAAGAACTTAACCATTTATTTGATACCAGACACAATGTTCAGTCCTGGGAATACAAAGAAAAGGCAAAACTCCGTGCCTGCCCTCAAGTCAACAAGCAGGATACAGAGAATGGCTCTCTATTCCTTCCTGTTCTCCAGGAACTCCCAGTCTAACGGGGAAAAAGCGAACAGCCACACTGGAGCTCATCTTAGAGAGAAGGCACTACATTAACGGAGAATCGAGAGAGGCTTCTTGAAGAAGCTGAGACACTAGCTGCGACTTGGGACCCTGATTCAAAGTGCTCACTTTCTAAGAGTCAACAACATTAAGAAAAAAAAAACCAAACCCTGTTCAAACACGACATATTTGCTGTAAATGGGAAGTAACTGTAGAGCTGATTGGTGGGGGACTAGGACAGGTCCCCTTGCAGGTGGGATTTGAGCCGAGTCTAGGAAGGAAAGGAGGTTATGAAAGGAGGTATAATAATAACAGTAACAGCTAGCATTAATCCAGCGCTTTAAGGATTACTGCGTGCTCTACAGTATCTTCGCCTAATACTCGAGACATTGCTAATTAGACTCGTAGTGACCACCTTGGACATCCTTCTCCCTCCTTCCCCCCCTCCGCAAAGGAAAGCCTTACAGCCGGAGTCGCTACCTGCTTCCCTCCCCTCATCCCTCAGAGAGAGCCATCTACCCCTATTTTTGAAGCGCACTCCAAACCGCCACACCTCCTCATATTCCCTGAGTAGCCTCAGGCGCCCATCCACCCTGCGCGGGCAGGGGGGGAGGGGTCATGTCGTGCTCTCTCTGTCTCCTGGGGCGCTCGGGCCACGCCGAAAGCCAAGGACTCGGAGCCGGGGGCCAGGGGTGGGGAACATCCATAGCTCCCGGGTAGCGCAGACGAGGGGAGAGGGTGGGAGAGCGAGGCAGCCCGAGAGCTTGCGACGCAGACGTGCGAGCGCGGCCGTTAGAACCGTTACTTACCATTCCCAACTGCGCCCAGGCGGGGCTGGCGGAGAAGCGAATGGAACAGCATCTGGGCCGGCGGGAAAAGGGCAGCGAAGAGAACAGACTTGCAAACAGTAAAAGGCCCGCGCCCTCTCCCACGTCCCCAGCCCATTTATACCGGCTAACTCCCGCCACCGCCGGGCCGGGCCAACAAACTCCGCGCCAAACTGACGTAACGCCATCCGATTGGCTCCCGTTGTTCAATCGCTAAGACGCAAGCCACGCCTGCTTCGAGATCCCGCCTCTTTCTCACCCGCCCCCCCTCCTCCCACTGAGGAAGCCTCAGGGCGATTGGCTATTGGCCCCGCTTGCGCCTGCGCCGGGGGAAGAGTAAAAGCTTAACAGCCGAGCATCTAGGCCGCATGCGCGGTATCAGCACGGGGAGAGCCAGGGTTGAGGGGGGGGAAAGAAAACACGCGAGAACAAATTGGAGGGAGATGGTTGGGCTGCAGCTGAGTTTCCAATCCTGAATAGGCTGGTCTGGTTATTGTTAGAGCGCCATGGCGTCGAATTCGACCAAGTCTTTCTTGGCAGACGCCGGCTACGGCGAACAGGAACTGGATGCGAACTCAGCCCTCATGGAACTAGATAAAGGTATCTCGGGAGCTAACCGTCCGCGTCAAAATGGGTGGGGGGGGCAGGGGGAGGGGAGAAATGGCGCCACCAGCTGGTCGAGGCCTCGAGATCGCCGTGGTGGCGCATGCGCGACAGTCCTGGCGTGGGGTAGTACTTTCTCTCGTAGGCTGGCGCGGTTTAGTCCTCGTTTTCTGTGGGTCGCTGGAGGAGTACCCTCTGGGAGATGAGCTTTTAAATTCCCGCAGCCTCTAGCTAGGTGCTTAAAGGGCGGGAAGGGGAAGGCGAAAGGACGTGGGGCTGGAGAAAACTCACGTAGTAGCGGGGTTTGGAGTTCTGGATTCACGCGCCAGCCACGCACCTGCTGTGAAACCTTTAATTCCCCCAAAGTCGAAGTGGTTTATAAAAATCTTGTGATTATTTCTGAATACGTGCATTTTGAACCAAGTGTCCCTCCTAAGTATTTAATCTAGCATTTAGTATGTTAGTGTACGGTCGTGTCCGACTCTTAGTGACCCCATTTGGGGTTTTCTTGGCAAAATTACTGGAGTGGTTTGCCATTGCCTTCCCCAGTGGATTAAGACAAACAGGTTGCAGCTAGTGGAGGTCTCAGTTTGGGTTTGAACTCAGGTCTTCTGACTCCACGTCCAATGTTTTATGCGTTGCGCCACCTATCTGCGATTTATGGACCTTCTGGACTTGGACTTGTTGGATTTGTATTGACTATAGAGTTACAGGAGGGACTTTGGTTGTTGCTTTTAACTCACTATGAGAGCAAAATAGAATAAAGGGTTTTTATTTTTAAAAGTCGGAAGTGACTCAGCTGTTTGTATTGCCCTGCTCAAAAAGCTTCAGTGGTCAAATTTATAAGAATACAAGTCGTTCCCCAATTGACAAGTTTGTCAAAAGGATATGAACAGGCAGTTTTCAGGTGAAGAACTTAAAGCTATCTATTGTCAAGAAAAAATGCTCTGAGTCACTATTGATTGGAGAAATGCAAATTAAAACAGCTCTGAGGTACCACCCCACACATCAGATTGACTAATATGACAGAAAAGGAAAATGATAAATGTTGGAGAGGATGTGGGAAAATAGGAAACACTGATGCATTGTTGATGGAGTTGTGAACTGATCCAACTCTTCTGCAGAGCAATTTGGGACTATGCCCAAAGAGCAATTAAACTGCATACCCTTTACCGTGCGCTACAAGGTCTGCATCTCAAAAAACTTCTCTGGCTCCCTTTTGCCTCAAGAATAAAGTAAAAATTCTTTCTAGGACAGTCTGGCTCCAGCCTCCCTCTCCAGGTTGTCAGACATTAGTCACGCACTGTGAAAGGCTGGGGGGGAAATAAGACCGGTTCTCTGGGTTGAAGGACCTAACAGTCTAATGGGGGAAGACAACTGTGTATAAGCAAGGGATCTGCAGGATAAATTGGAATTTATCTCTGAGGAAAGACACTAAGATTAAGAAGCACTAGGAAAGGCTTCTTGCAGAAGGTAACGTGGGCAGAGTTGAGGAGGGAGGGTTTCAGGAGGAGGAGAGAGCCTGGAAATTTCATGGAGTGGAGTGTCCCCTGGGAGGAACAGCAAGTGCCAGTGGATTGCAAAGGGCTTGAAAAGCCAAAGAATTTTATATTTGATCCTGGAGGGAGCCACTGGTGTTGATTGAATAGATGAGGGTATGGTCCAACCTTCAAGAAGACAAATTCGATAGATGAGTAGAGGATGGGCTAGAGTAGGAGAGACTGGAGGCAGGGAGACCAATCAGAAAGATATTGCAATAGTCAGGGTGTGAGGTGATGAGGGCCCTACACCAGGGTGGTTTTAGTGTTAGAGAAGAGAATGGGGCCTATTCTAGAAATGTTATAAGGGTGGGAAAAGGCAATATATTGAATATGGAGACTAAGGTAAGAGAGTGAGGGCTGGATAAGTGGATTTGAGAATCATTGGCATAGAGATGGTAACAGAATCCATAGGAGCTGAAGAGGTCCCTAAGTGAAGCAGAATGGGGGAGCTATATTCTGTCTAGGACCCCATGGGACCCTCACAGTTAGTGGGTATGTATAATTTGGATGGAAATTCAGCAGAGGAGACTGAAAAGTTGCAGATTGGTAAGTGAACCATGTGGTGTTTAAAAAGGGTAATTTAATCATCTTATTAATAATGCTAGCATTTTAATGAAAGGATGGCCATTTGGCTGTCTCTCTTTTAGATCAAAGACAGTGTGGGGCAGGCTCACTGTCTTGGCAACCAGCTCTGATTGGCTAAAAATGAGGGAATGGATATTGCAATGAGGGGCTGGACCTGAACTTTGATTAATGTCATTTACTTCTCAGTTAGCCCCAACCTTGGACAATCTGTTCAAAGATTTTATCCCCACCCAGACCTGAGTAGGGCACAATGGCTTCCCAACTGAATGGAGTCTAAATCCTAGCTCATTATCAGTCCCCTTCAAGAGACTGATCTTTTAAAATCAGGACTTTAGAAAAAGGGGGGACTCTAGATCTTCCTAGATAATTGGTTGCTGATAATTATTTCTTTCAAACAGGAGAGTTATGTCATGAAAACCTAGGGAAAAGTGAGTGTTAAGGAAAAGAGGGTATTGAAAAAAGGCCATTGAATTTGGCAATTGAGAAATCATTAGTAACTTTGGAGAGAGCAGTTTCAGTGGAATGATGAAGCTGGAAGCCAGTCTGTATAGATTTAAGAGTGAGAGAAAAGGAAGTGGAGGCAATAGTAAGTAAACTTTTATTAAGAGCCTGCTACTTGCCAGGCACTGTGTGCTAAGCATTGGGGATATAAATGCAGAAAAAGACAGTCCTTGTACTCAAGAAGCTTACAGTTACAAAACAGCACACAAGAGGAAACTGAAAAGGCGGCCCATGATTTTATGGATTGTTTTCTTCCAGTTTCTGTCTCATACTGTTGTTAACAGAAATGGATTTTTAATTCTTTGTTAGATAATCTGCATACTAATATGTTCAAAGACTGTTAGAGCTAGTGGGGACCTTATAAACCAGAGATGAAGGAAATGAAGCTTGTTAGTATAGTATCCAACCTTTTTTTTTAACTAGTATATTTTAAAGGTACTATATGACTGAGTAAATCATTAATTTAATCTAGATATTTTACCAGCTCTTTTGAAGAATTGACAGGATCATAGATACTTCCCTATTTTAAAGATTACTTAATAACCTGGGCCATTTTTTCCAATAACATAAGACTTTATATACTATCATAAATAATTGAAATTTTATAGTTTTCTGTTTACTGTATGACAACTTAAAACAAAATTGGTTTATATTTCATTAAAATCTGCTGTAGTATTTAGGAGGCAGTGCAGCATAATAAGCGGATAGATGTCTGACTTGCAATCAAAAAGACCAGGGTTTGAATTCTGCCTCACACTAATCTTAGATTAGTCACTTCACTTCTTTCAGCCTCCCTCATTTGTAAAATCTCCCAAACTGTTATAAGACTCAAATGAGGAAATGTATGTAAAGCACTGTATGTTATTAGTAAAGGATATCAAGCTTTGAGAAACTCAGGTTTCTTAATATGCCGAGTTCAGCATCTGTCAACCAAAAAGCATTCAGTAAGTGCCTCTTATGTGCCAGACACTTTGCTAGCATTGGGAGTGTGAAAGACAAAAATGATGCAGTTACTGCCCTCAGGGAGCCTACATTCTATTGAAAATACATAAACAAATAGTTAAGTTGGAGGTAATTGACTGGGCTAGAGACAGCCTAATTTGGGAGGGGGAGGGGAATAAGGAAAAATAGTGGTAGGAGTAGTGCTTGAGCTCAACTTTTAAGGAAACTTGGAATTCTAAGAGGCATAGTTGAGAAAGGAGGGTATTCTAGGTGTGTGAATGGGGAAAGCCTATAACAGATGGCTGCAGGAACTTGTCTTCTCCATGCTCTTAGGAATTTTCCTCCCCTGTACTTTTCCTTTTCCACTTGAAGCCCTACCAACAGCTCTATTAGGACTTCACCTGTCACTACTCTTGGTTTCTCACCAGTATTAGTTGGTCAAGGCCAGTGGTAAATGAGAGAGAAAAACGGAACCTTGAGATACAGATGGGTCTTGTTAAGTCTGCATCTCTCTAGCCCTTGTTTCCTTTACCTTTTGCCCTCATTCCTAGTCTGTTCATTGTCATTCCAGCTTGATTTGGTAGTTAGAAGAAGGGATGGGCAGATCCCCAGCTGGCAGCTACCATAACACTCCTTATGCCACCCTACCTCCTACCCACACCCTGGCCAGTTTTGACCCTGTAGCACCCCTTGGGGCAGGAAAGAGAAGATCCCTCTTTACTTATATTTCCAACTCCTACTACTGTCTAGCTCTAGGGTGGGCAACCCTGTGGCCTTGAGACCATGTAAGGCCTTTTAGATTCTTAAGTGCAGCCTTTTGACTGAAGCCAAATTTTGTAGAACAAAGTGGCTTTTTACCTTTCTCAGAACCTGGGCTGAGTTTTCACTCATCACACCACCTCTAACCCATCCATTTTAGGATCATAGACTTGAAGCTGGAATCAACCCTAGATGTCATGTTACCACTCCTTTGTTTACAGATATGGAAACTTATTTCCAGAAAGGTTGTGCTTTTTCAACGTCTTGCAAGTATTATGTATCCGAGTGGACCATCTCTACAACCACCCCAGTATTTGCCGTTTTCACATAACACTTCTCTAAATTTTGACTAGGAAGGAAGTGAGGGAGATAAATACCTAAGGTATATTCCGTGACCACCATTTATTAGGCTGCTTTGGGAGAAAATTTCAGATTCATGATGGGGTAAAGAGATTATTGTGGACCTTACTAACATTTATAATGCTATTTTTATGGGGAAATAAGGTCTAAGCATGTGAATTACTAACATTATAACCAGGCTGTCAATTAGGTAATCATACCTGTGTACCCTACGTTTGTTTTGTAGTTCTAGCTATTACCTTTAAAAAGAGACAGCTGATAAGCTTTCTGAATAGCTGTTACTACACAAGACATTTCCCTTCTCCCAGTCTTAGTTTCCTCATCTATAAAATGGACTCAGTTATCCTTCCAGAGTATTCCTCAACTCATGGGATCCTTATGAGAAAAGCACTTTGCAAACCTTAAAGGATTATATAAATGTGATGTTTGGTACATGGATAAATGGCACATGTAATTGTCCTGGTCAAGGTTTATAGATCACATAGTGATTGGTCAAAATAACAGGAGGCTATTCTTTATCTAGTGGTATTGAGTTGCAGTAAAAGTGGAAGCATTTGAATAAGGTATTGATGAAAATGCCATAGGAGGAACCCAGAGTTTTAAAAACAAATGTTAAAAATTGTTTTTACATGCAACTAGGACATAAAACATACAGGCAGTGGGGTATAGAAATCTATCTTTCCCTACAGGAAGATAGAAGGGGAAGGGAATAAGAGAGGGGGGGGTTGATAGAAGGGAGGACTGATTGGGGGAAGGGGTATTCAGAATGCCGGCCATCTAAGGGGGCAGCTAGGTGGCAAAGTGGATAGAGCACCGGCCCTGAAGTCAGGAGTACCTGAGTTAAAATTCGGCCTCAGACCAAACACTTGACACTTACTAACTGTGTGACCCTGGGCAAGTCACTTAACCCCAATTGCCTAAAAGAAGAAAAAAAAGAAAAGAAAAAAAAGAATGCATGCCATCTTGGGGTAGGAGGAGGGGAGAGATGGGAGAAAATTTGGAACTCAAAATCTTGTGAAAGTGAATGTTGAAAACAAAAAATAAATTAATTTTTAAAAAAAGAAAAAAATTAAAAAGAAAATACCATAGGAAAGAATTCTTAAAAACAATTCTTTGTTTCCATTTTATTGTACTGTCTTCATCTGTTGATGAATGGCTATTTCCAAATAGTTCTCATTGACAGATTTTTCAGGAAAACTTTAGAATTTTTTTCCATTTAAATATTCATGATGATTTAAAACCTCTGCTTTACAGTACAAGTTATTAATATGTTACTATAGCTATTAATATCTTAATGTACATTTAATAATATACAGACCCTTTGGGGCCCAAATTTGAAAAGTACGTTTAACATTGCAAAGTGTATACCTTCCCTGTTGTTGCTTTTTAAAAGGGCTGAGATCTGGCAAACTTGGAGAGCAGTGTGAAGCAGTTGTACGATTTCCTAGACTCTTTCAAAAGTATCCATTCCCTATTCTCATCAATTCTGCATTCCTAAAGCTGGCTGATGTTTTCAGAGTTGGGTAAGTCTAATATATGCCCTTTCTAAAATATCAGTGTTCTAAAGTTAACTGATTTTCATTTGAGAGAGTGGCCTCTTTTTCTCTGTCTTGGGGTTTCTTTTCTTGCTATAGTCTCTGTTGTCTGATGTACTTTTTGTTTGTATGTTTTTCTGATTTACACTCATAGTTTGAATTATCATCTTCTTGCAGATGACTTCCAAATCTACATATTTAGCCTTTGTCTTCAAAGCTCTGCCATTGGGCATTGAGAGGCATAATGGTATAAAGGCCAAGAAGATCTGCTTCAATTCTGCCTCATTTACTAGGTGTTTGTGCTGGGGCAAATTATTTAACCTTTTCTAGATTAATTTTCCTTTCCAGAAAAATGGTGATAGTCATAACTGTATCTCACCAGGTTGTTAGGATGATGAAAGGAGGTTTTATATATATATACACACACACACACACATATATATGTGTGTGTATATATAAAACATTTTGAAAACCTTAAAGTGGTCTGTAAATGTCAGTTATTATTATTGTTATGACATTCCATTTCCCACCTCTAGGCCTTGGTACAGGCTGTCCCCCATGCTTGGAATGTTCTCTATCCATACCCCTGCCTCTTGAAACCTCTAGTTTCCGTCAAAACTTAGTTCAAGTGTCATGTCCTGCACTAAATTTTTCTTGATTTCCCAAGTTGTTAGAACTTCTTTACTCTCTTACTACTTTTTTATTTGTTGTATATATTTTGTATTTTCTTAGCTGTGTGCATGTTGTTTCTTCCAGAGTTATATAAAGTTTTGAAGGCAAGGATGATTTACTTTTATTTTGGTCCCAAGTACCTAATACATACTAGGTGCTGAATGAATTCTTTTTTTTTTCTTTTGGCTAGGCAGTGAAGTTAAGTGACTTGCTCAGGATCCTACAGCTAGTAAGTGTCATGTGTCTGAGATGGGATTTGAACTCAGGTCATCCTGAATCCAGGGCTGGTGCTCTATGCACTGCCTGAATACCCCTGAATGAATTCTGAATAAATGCTTCCTAAACTGAATTAAACCAACCTTCCTCTCCAACCTCCATACTAGATATTTTTACTTTTATTCAGTTAATGTCAAAAAAGGGTACACAGCTGTTATTACCTCACCATGATTCCCATTAGAATTTTCCTTCTGAATAAAATATAAAACATGATAGGAAACATAAACTTAAAATTCATATACATATATAAAGTCAATATCTATCTATTTAAAAAAACCAATAAAAGCAAATATTTAAAGCAATTCTAAAGGGTCAGCAAAGAAAAGTTACTTCTTGGATTAAAAAAAAGAAAGACCAAAATAATTAAGATCATTCACAGAATTTTAAAGGAATTGGGTCCAACCTATAATCAAACCTGAGAAATAGTCATCTAATGTTTGCTTAAAGCTGTCTAGTAAAGAAGAACCCTCTGTTTCCCAAAGCAACCCATTCTAGATTTGGACAATTCTGATTGCTAAAAATTTTTTCTTGGTGTCAGGTCTAAATTTGCCTCTTTGCAGTGTCCACCCATTGCTCATAATTCTTCCATCTTGGGCAAAACAAGTCTAAATTCCTTTTCTAGACATAGATTGCACATAAATTGGATAGAGCTCAGGACATGTAATCAGGAAAACTTGAGTTCACTTCTGGCCTCAGACATTTGCTAGTTGTGTGGCTCTGGGCAAGTCACTTCTTTGCCTCAGTTTCATCATCTGTGAAACACTAGGGCATAGTACCCCAGACGTATTGCTTCCTTATTCCTGGAGGCTCTCTCTTTAATACATCCCAATATCACATTAACTTTTTTGACTGCCACATCTCTCTTTGCAGTCATTGAAATTGAAGTACACTAAAATCCCCCTAGATCTTGGGAGTGTTTTTTGTCTTTATACCCTCAGAGCCTAGCCCAATGCCTAGCACAAAATAAATGCTTACTAACTGCTTATTGAATTGAAGCAAATTGGATCTTTTTTGATGCCTTCCCCATATTATGCTTGTGAAATTGATCTTTTTTTTTTTAAATTACCCAAGTGTAAGACTTTACATTTACTGTCAGTAAGTTTCATTCTGTTAGATTTAGTCCAGTGCTCTTGCCTGTTAGGCCTTATGGAATCCCAACTCTGTGTTAGCTATTTCTCCCAGTTGTGTGTCATCTGCAGATATGATGAGTGTACCATCTACTCCTTTATCCAAGCTATTGATAAAAATGCTAAACAGCATAGGATAAAGCACACATCCTTGGAGCATTCTGCTGATTACATCCAGCCACGTTGGCTTCTGACCATGTTGTACCTAGGCATACAGATCTGGTGCTGAAAAAGGTGCCAAAAGCCATCCGAGCCCCTCGTTAACTACTATTATATGAATTTAGCCATTCAGTTAGTTCTGTTGCCATCTAATTGTATATCATTGTCTAGTCCACATCTCGCCATCTTTTCCTTAAGAATGGTAGAAGATACTGCTGCAATCTACTTTTCCAGTGTTTTAGCCAAACTAGGCTACTAGCTGTTCTCCAAACTCCCAATTCTATCTCTTGCCTCTATGCATTTGCACAAACCACCTCACCCTTCCAGGCCTCTGCCTTTCAGCATCCTTAATTTTCTTCCAAACTTATCTCATGTTCTATCTCTACTTTGCAAACACTTTCTCCCTTCTCTCATTTTTCTAGACTATCTTGTTTGATCTTACGCTTAACCCCTTTACTCCCTACCTCGTACTACACCTTTTCTATTTACTTTTTTTGCATGCCATTATAGATTTTAGTTCCAAGTGAAGTTTGTTTTGTTTTTGTCTTTGTATTACTAGCAAAGTTCTTTATACATGGTAGTAGTTGCTTGCTTAATGTTTATTGAAATTGTGAAATTGTACTCCACTTAGCTTAGTTTAGACTTTTTTAATAAAAGATAAGGAGCCCAGTTCTCATAGAATTAAAGTAACTTGACCAAAATCACATTAGTGATTAGTATCAGAACTGACACCAGAATCTAATTCTTCTGATTCCTAACTGAATGCTTTTTACTGCTGTTTCATACTTCTACTTTTGTACCCTAAAATAGGCATAAATGTTCCATGCATATTGGTTGTAGAAGAGTTCTTAATGTATTATAAAAATGAAAATATAGTACATAAATTCTTTGTTCTACTACTTTTTAAATTTTAGCCATCTAAAAAACTAATATGCTGCCTTTAGTAAACATGAATTAGATCCTCTTCTCCCCTTCCTCTTATACCATACTTTGAAGGAAAAAATGTGTCACAAAAACAACTTGAGGTGGTATGGGAATGATTGGACAATCATCTTTCTGATTATTTATATGTATGTATGTGTAAATATATGTTTATATGGATATATATACACATACATATGCATATATAATACACATATGCATATTTATCAGTTACATTTTGGGAGGAACACTAACTGGCATAATTCTCCTTCCTCCATGAATCACTACCCTTGTGGAGCCATGGGTTAGAAAGGTATCGAAAGTGAATTTTGGAGAATATAACCAACTCCATCTTGTTCTGTATCAGCCATTCTTGGTATGTGACCTTTGATGAACTGCAACACCAGCTGCAACAATTGCTGTCCTTCAGTGTTTTCTCTCCTCCTCTTATCAGTACACGACTTAGTAGCTGAAGGTGGCGTATTCCAGAGTCCTTGGAATGTCCTTCGCCCTTGTCTAGTCTAATGGAGAATTCTCTTTGATTTAGTGAAACTAGCTATATTAAGAAAATAAATTCCCTTACCTCTTTACTGCAACAAATGACATATATTTTCCTTTAACAAGTATTCTACACATCCAAAGAAAGAACTATGGAAGTCGAATTGCTGTCACTTATTTTTACCTCCTGTTGAGTTTTGTTTCATCTTTCTGATGGTTCCTCCTATTGGTTTTAATTTTTACTTACAACTTCGCTAATGTGAAAATATGTTTAATGGGTATGTAAAGCCTATATCAGATTGTGGGCTGTCTTGGGGAGGGAGGGGGAGAAAAATTTTCAACTCAAAAGAATATGGAAGTGATTGTTGATAAATCAAAACAAATTAATAAAATTGAAAAAAAAATTGAAAAAAAATAAAAACAAGTATTCTATTTTTCTTGTATGTCCAACCACATTTTGATGAATAGCCATCTTGCTGTTTTCTTTGTTTCATATAACGCATAAATATTGCTTACTGAGTTGTGAATGGTGCATTCCCTATCAATTGTTGGTGGAAAATGACACACTCAGTGTAATAAAGCCTTTTTCCTGATTTTGTCTGGCTTATTGGCTTTAGGTAGTTGAATTCATAAGAAAATTCATGCCACAAAGAAAGTAAGTGGGTCACTGTTAGTACTCCCTACTCACTTTCCTTTAATGATGAGTCAAAACAATAGGTTAAAAATGGAGAATAAGAGATTATGTATTGATCCTTGTTATTACTATTTTAAGCAGACAGAATTTTTCATCTATTTTTCTTCTTTTTAGAAACAACTTCCTCAGGCTATGTGTACTTAAAGTCACTCAACAAAGTGAAAAGCATTTGGAGAAGATTCTGAATGTGGATGAGTTTGTGAAGAGGATCTTTTCTGTGATTCATAGCAATGACCCTGTGGCAAGAGCTATTACTCTCCGGTATGGTAGTTTCACTTTGCATCTAACATTATTCACAAGATGAAATTCTTTATCTGTTTAAAACAAGGAAGCTAGAGTATTATTTCGTTGTGGGTTTTAGGAATTTATTTGTGAGATTAAAGTTCAAATAATGAGGAAGACAGACGAATAATCTATAGCTCCTAATAGATGAGGATTTGTATCCTATAATTTTTATCTAAATAGTAGCATAAAATTTGCATGTGTGTGACACATGCATATATATATATATATATGTATATGTATGTATGTATTTTTTATACAGATATTCTGGTTAGATGAATCAATTTATTATTGTTTCATTATTAAATAACAAGAAGTAACACCTAAACTGTTCTCTGAAGGCCCAGTCTTTTCATTTAAAGTTGCGTGCTTCCTTAAGCTTGTAATTACTATTTCAAGTTGCTATGTAGATCTGACCTTTGATCCATTAAAAAAGACTCTTGGTATTTGTGCTCCAGTATTGACTTGTAATACACTTCCTTTGATCATGAAGTTAGAATCATGTTGCTTTAAAAGGTAAAACTTAGGTCTCTAGCTTATAGATGATGTAATAATCTAAAACCACTGTTGAAATGAAGCAAATCATATTGCTGTTTTATAAGCTTAAACACATGTGAAAACAAGTCATACTGTAGTTCATAAAATCATAGATGCTTAAGAATTGGATGGGACATTAGAGAGAAACTTTCCTTTCCTTCCAGAGCAGAAACCTATTCTGCAACATGGCAATGATCATCCAGCTTCTAAGCACATCTTTTTAGTGAGGGGGTGCTTCCTATCCTTGTGAGGTAGGCTCCTCCATTTTTGAATGGCTCTAAGAGATAGAAAATTCTACTGTATGTTGACTTTACATCTGTCTTCCTGTGACTTTCACCCATTGGATTAACTCTAATCCCTCTTTTACCTGACAGACTTTCACGTATCTTAATGTGACTCTAATGGGTTCCCCCATCTTGTCTTCAGATCACTCAGCCCCAATTCATCTCAGTTGTTCCTGTATAAACAGAGTTTCCAGACTCTTCACCTTTCTAGTAGCCTTCCTCTGTACACTTGTCCAGTGTGTCTGTGTTTCTGGACCCAGTTCTCCACAAAGTTTTCAAATTTTAGGTCGTTCTGAAGATATAAATAATGTTTTTATTTAATGGGGGGGGGAGTGAGGTTTTATTTTTTTTTAATAGCAGCTCATATAAGCAAGAGAGCAAGGCCTTTCCTGCCTCCACATTTTTACCTGGTTAATTTTTTTTCATTGATTTATTCAACAGTGTACTCTTTTAAAGGCGATACAAGTGATTTACAGTTCCAATGAGGAAAAGCAGAAATTGGCTAAAGAGACTGTGGATACACAGAGGATTCAACTATCTAACTTAGAAATCTAAAAAAAATATACAGAGGGTGGAAGCAGAGGTGTCAAGTCACAGAGGGCATGTGCAAAAGCATAGCGCTTTTCTGTCAGAATATGTTGTTAGGAGAACTAAACGTCAGAATGAGCAGAGTCTTTCAGGCAAACTGCAGACAACCAGGAATGTTCTTTAGCTATATTGGGAAAAAGAAGAGAATTATCATACACATCCCACTCCCTATTTTTCCCTTTTTAAACTCTGCTGATTTCATCAGCTCTCATAGATTTAACTCTCACATCTACTTATCCAGTCCTTAGCTTCTTCCTGAGCTATCATCTTTTTTTTTTGGTGAGGTAATAAGGGTTCTGACTTGGCCAAGGTCACACAGCTAGTAAGTATTAAGTGTCTGAGGCCAGATTTGAACTCAGGTCCGTCTGACTCCAGGGCCAATGCTCTATGCGCCACCTCGTTGTCCCCTTGAGCTATGTTTTTGAAACTCCAAATACCTGCTGGACATATCTCTGTCCCATAGACTTCTCAAACTCAGCTTGTCCAAATTGAATTCTTTCTTTCCCTTAAACCCAGTTCTCTTCCTGACTTCTCTCAGTCAAGTGTACCACCACTATATGCTTTACACGTGGTAACCACTTAATGAATAAAGTGCTTTTTCATTCATTCATTCTTCAGTCACCTCTCTTCAAAAGCTAAAAATCATCATTGGCTTTATTTTCTCACTATTCTTTCTCCACGTCCAGTCAATGCTAATCTTTGTAGATTCAACCTCTATAACATCTTGTACATCTGTTCCCTTTTCTCCATTCTTATCATAGCCACCTTGATTCATGCCTTTATTACCTTTCACCTGGATTTTTTCAGTAGCCTTCTAATTGGTCTTCTTGTATCCCAGACTCTCCCCTCTCCAACCTATCCTTTATACAGGTGCCAAATTGATTGTCCTAAAGCACCAATCCTGTCACTTGCCTGCTAAAGAAGTTAAATCAACAAACATTGTTAAATGTCTATTATACGTCAGGCACTATGCTAAGTGCTGGGAATACATGTACAAGCAGAAGGGAAAGCAGTCCTTCCTTTCAACGAGCTTAAAAAGAAAAGTAGTCCAGGACTGGAGTGAGTTTCCAGATATACTGTGGCATAGCAGACAACATTTCACAAAGTGGAGATCTGTAGTGCAGCTTGGAGAGGAGTGAAGACATGATTGTCCTGGGCCTTTCCTTAAAGTGCAGGTTCTAAGAGGAACCAGCCAATCAGAGGGAGAGGCTGCAGGGCTGGAGAATACATCCAATGTAAGAAGCAGTCTAAAGATGGAATGAGTTTCATTTGCTCTTCCACGATGAGGAGACAAAGTACTGTGCAAAGTCAAGAGTGCAGCCTGGAGAGGAATGAAATCGCATTAATAAAGAAGCTTCAGTGTCTCCCTGTTATAGGCATTCTTAGGGGTCTGTGATGTGGACGGGATAAAAAATTACATCTTTATTTTCATTATTTAAAAATGTATTTAATACAGCTGACTCCTGAGATCTTTCAAAAATTTTCTTTTTCCTACCATGTATCAGATAAAGTAACATCTCAAGGCATATTATAGAAATATTGGAATTTCACAGCATAATTTTCATAACAAAAGTTTATATACATATATATATACATACATATATATATGCATATATATACACATATATACACATACACACACATACATACTTTTTTTTTTTCAGTTTTGGTCTATAAAAGTACTTACCTGTTCTAATTTTTGTTAATAAAGCTTAACTTGCCCCTCCCTTTTTTTTTTAGCTCTGAATTTACCTTATCTCCTTTTCTTGGGATTGCTATAGGATGTTGGGAAGTTTGGCATCCATCATTCCTGAGAGGAAGAACGCTCATCATAGTATTCGTCAGAGTCTGGATTCACATGATAATGTGGAAGTTGAAGCTGCTGTGTTTGCTGCTGCTAATTTCTCTGCACAGTCCAAGTAAGTGCATACTTCTAACATCTAGATTCCCAAGTATGTTTCAATGAGTGACCATTCAGTGTCTGTCAAGCACCTAGTAAATGCCCAGTTGCCCCGCTCTTAGGAATACAAAAGAAGTATAAAACAGGGTCTCCTCCCTGAAGGAGCATATGGTCTAGTTGGGGAGAAAAGATTAACATACGTGATGAAATGGAGGAAAAATTCAGTACCAAACTGTGTTGTGAATGTATGCAGTAGACATACAAAGAGAGGTAGAAAGACTTCATGAAAGAATCAAAGCTTCTTCCACTGAAGAGAGAGCCTGTCTTCAGTGAATATTAACCCTTTATTCCTTCCATTTCATTCCAAACTTTTTGTTTTAAAATAAATTTTATTCGTGCTTTTGTGTTTTGTACATAATTTCTGGAAATATCATTTCCCCCACCAAAAAAAAATTGAACTTTCCCTTTCAATAAACAGCTTATTTCTTATTTTAAACAGAAATATTAATGCCAGTGTTGACTGCTTTCAAGAACAGTACCTTTCTGAAGACTTGTTAAAGCAACTTGCTAAACCATGTAGTGGTGTGAATCAAATTTTCATTTTATTTTTATTAAAAGTTCTTTAAAGGTTGCAGAGTGCTTCATATGTGTTATTTCATTTGCTCTTCGTAATAACCCTATGAAGAAGCTGCTGTTATCTCATTTTGTAGATGATGAAACCAAGGCTGACAGAGTTTTAGTGAGCATCTGAGGTGGGACTGGGCCCTTTCCCTTAAACCTCTGTGGATTTATCACAGTCTCACTTGTGTTATAGTTGTTATGTGTCTTATTATATCCCTGTTAGACTGCAAGCTCCTTGGGAACAGGGGCTTTTTTTTTTTAATTCCCAGTACCTGTAACTCTGGCTTGCACAATGTAGATACTTGAATAAATGTTTGTTGAATGAAATTGACCTAGTGAGAGTGAAAATTCTAAGACGGAGAGGAAAGGAGGTCATTTCATTAAGGGACTAGAAAATAGTGTGAAATTTAGCACGAATTTAGAATTAAAGAACCTTTATTTGAATCTTCTCCCAGCTGCTTGTTATTATTTAGATGACCAAAGACAAATCATGTAGTCTCTCCAAGCTTTCAGATTTTTTTCATCTGTTAAATGAGAGGGTTGGACTAGATGATTTGTTAGCTCCCTTCCAGTTCTGTGATGCTAGTCCACATTTTCTGGGCTTGAAAACTCTTGCATACTATCATATAAGACTTACTAAGGTTAGCTTTGGGGGATTTCTTAGAGATCACCAGTTGTTTTGGGTGATCTGTGAGGTCATTTCTTTTCAGTCCTTTGAAAACTTTGGTGACTTTAACTAAAGGTGTCTTTAAATATCTGTTTCCTCTTTCCATAGGGATTTTGCTGCAGGAATCTGTAACAAAATCAGTGAAATGATTCAAGGTACGTAAGTTCTATTTAGTAATAAGAAACAAGTGAGTTTTTCTTTATATTCACTTTATGCCCTATTGAGTTAATTAGAATAGTTTAATTATGTATTGTAGTTGTATCATACATATGCATGCACTTGGCTAAAAAAAGATGGAGGAAAAATGATTCAAATAGCACTGACAGTTTTGCACACCAATTCACTCTGTGAACATATACCTCAGAGCAAGTATGAGATGGGAGATAACAATAGCATTTATATAGGTTAAATCATTTGAGATGTGAATCTACTGTTTGCTTAGTAGATACCTCTCATAGGGTGAGCATCTTATCCCATTGAGCATAATTCTAGAATATCTTCTTTATCATACCTAGCAACAGTCCATTCTATTTATGATAGTTGAACTAATGAGAGGGACGACCTTATTTGGTCTTCCTAACTTTCCCGATCAGTTAGAAAGCCTCTGCTATGTTTTCTTTGTCTTCTTTATGTCCTCATTTGTCTTATACTTAATAGGAAGGAACAATTATATAATAGTATCATCACTCTCTAATATAATCACATTCATGTACCAAGCCCTTTCGAGAGTGTTTTTCCATATGTTTACTAGGAATGTATATGTATAACCTGTATCAGATTGCACGCTGTCTTGGGGAGAGAGGTGGGAAGAGAGGGGGAGAAAAATTTTAAACTCAAAAACTTATGGAAGTGATTGTTGATAAATCAAAATAAAAAAAGAATCAAAATTTTAAAAAAGGATATTTTTCCCCTTATCATCAGTTTTTGTACTAGCTAAATCTTTACCTATTTTTTTTCTGTTTGAGTAGAAGTTCTTACTTCTACCTATTCCTAATCAGTAGCTTCACTGAGTGTAGTGAAAATATGGAAAATAAAATTTACATTCAATTATTTCCATAGTCACTATCTCAGATCCATCTGCTTTTTGATATGGGCGTCCTTCTTTTAAAAGACCCTAGAATCTCTCCATCTACATATTTTAAAGATAGTATGCTATCATGGGTGATTAAAGGAATTTTCAAGGATAATTTTAATTACAGGTGATTTTACACTGACTTTAGAACCTGATCGTAACATAAGATTTAACTCCACAGTATATGCTTTTAAACTGTCATTAACAATAAAAACATGTGCTTACTTTGTGTCAACAGTGCGGAAAAAATCACCTTTTTTCATATTTGGGAGGTGACCCCACAGCCATCATTTGATAGAACTTGGGTTGTGCTCATCAACAATAAAAGTAAAGTTTATCTCCCTTTAGACCCATGATAACTTTGTATACTTGATTTAAGGAAAATATTTTTAGGCCATTGTGGCCTTGGTCTTGTTCTTTCCTTGAACATGAAAAATGTTGCTCAGAAGAGAGAATTTAGGAGACAAGGAAGCAGATGGGATGATTTTATTATTATCTCATTAAAGAGATTGTGCACACACACACACACACACACACACATATACATAGTATATGGCTTTGTATATAGGGTTTTTTTTTATTCTTTGTGTGTGTGTGGTAACTAGAGTAAAAGCAAGAAATATGGTATTCCTCAGCCAAATTTATTCTTATGTTAAAAGTAACATTATATTGTGGGTTAGTATTATAGTGTCTTAACATTTTCATTTAATCCTCACACCTAATGAGTTAACTAGTGCAAGTATTATTAATTCTATTTTAGTGATGAAAGAAATGAGTTTAGTTGAACTTCACACAACTAGTAGGCAAAGCTGGGGTTCCAATACACATATTCTTACTCAACCCAAATGACCAAAAAAGACAAGTAGAGTTAATGATGTTTGACCAAGTTTCTTTCAGATCAGAAGATATTAAGAGATAAGGAAAGATGTTATAGTATGCAATATGTTTAGCATAAAATGAAATTGTATCACTTTTGAATGTAGATATATATACCTGATGATTATGTAGCAAAATTCACAATGGACAATCTTATAAGAACTAGATTTTTAGAAAGTAGATTTCACTGTAACAAATATATAATGTACCTTTTTATAGGTAATCTACCTTTTTATTCTAGCCTTCTCTACGCTTGTACAAAATTGATGACATGCTAGGCCACAAAGAAAATGTGTGCAAATTCAGAAAAATGAGATGCTATACGCAACCTTAAATGTACAAACCACAGTGCATTCAAACGAGTAATAAATAATGCTATAGTTAGTAAAAGACATAAGCTTCTCCTCTTCTGCCCCCCCAAAAATTTTTAATCACCTTGGACATAATTACTAGGTAAAAAGGGACATTTTTAAAACATTAACAGATTACATCAAAAGTAATAGAAGTGTAGATGCTGTAAGGCACAGTTAAGATCTGACCAAAGTAGGTACTCAAAAGGAAATTCACAGCTTTACATGCCCATAGTAATAAGTAAAAGAAAACATTAACAAATTGAGTTTGCATCTAAAAATTTAGAAAAGGAACTAACCAGCAAAACACCATAACTAAGAAATGAACAAGATCAGGGCAGAGGTTTCTATGACATTCTGTGGAAGAGAGTGCTGGCCTTGGAAACAGGAAGGAAGTGTTGCACTTATGATGAAAAGAGCCCTGGCTCTGGAGTCAGGACCTGGTTCAGATCTGATGCTTACTATTTGAAAGACCTTAGACAAGTCCTTCAAGGTCCTGGCGCCTCCTTGTCCTCATTTGTAAAATGAGATTGTTAGATTAGATGGCCTCTGCTAGCTCCATATCTGGATTCAGTTCTCAGGTCTGCTTCTTCCGGCCTTTGTGATCTGGAACAAATCAGATTCTGTGAGCTTCAGTTGCTTCATCTATAAAATAAAAGGGTTTGGGAACCATGTGATTGGCAAGGTGACAGAGTAACTGTTTTCTATAAAACTCTGCATTCCAAATACAAAAAAGAAAGGAATTTACACTAAATATGGAGTAGCTAAAGGCAAATCCACAAATGTAATACAAAAAACCTTCATGAAATAAGATGAGCAACTGTAATACTTACACTTGCACCTAATGTGGTATATCCACCACAGCCCTTATGCTGAGCATAGCCAGTGCAAGTAACCTCACAGGCTTTTACTTCAGGCTCTGAATGGGCACCATTTCCTTACCTCAAAATATATGGCAGATGTAGATTCAGCCAACCACTTTGAAGGAAGGAGAAAACGACTGGAGGAGGGCAGTGAGAGGTTTAGTTGGCTGGGTGAAATGGTGCTTCCTTTCCTAACAGAAGGGTGATTATCTACCTAGCTGAAGTCTTCTCCCCAGCAAGTTTCCTGCCCTCTCCGCTGTTATTATGACCACCACCATCTGCCTCCTCCATTTCTACTCAGATACTGCTGGAGAAAATCATCCACAAATGTGGATTTGTGTCCACTACAAATACACAATAATTTCAAATTGGGCCTTCACTGTCCCATGGTAATCCTTTTACTGTTTTGACTCCATTGTATAGGAGATATGTCCATACCTTATAGGATCTCCTAAAGCCTCTTCTCACCCTCTCAGTAGAAAACCTCCCTTGGTACTTTACTGAGAAAACTGAGGCATTCACAGGGACCTCTATAAAACCCTTTGACATTACTCATTCTTTGGACTGATTCTCCCTGTTTTCAGACTCCCAATCTACTAAAAATGCATTCATATCTTCCCCTGAAAAAACCCTCACTTGCGTCCTCTCTCCAGCTCTCTTGCTGTTTCTTTCCTTTTAGAGTTACCAGTGATTTCTTAATTGTTGATTCCAAAGGTCTTTTTTCAGTCCTCATCTACATCCTTTCTACAGCATTTGACACTGTTGATCACGCTGTCCTGATAAATACTGTCCTTTCTGAGTTTTTGTGATACTGCTTTCTTCTAGTTTTCTTCCTACTTATCTTTTCATTCCTTCATAGTTTTCTCTGCTGGATCACCATAGTTTGCCCATTAACAGAGTTAGCTAGTTGGTACAGTGCCCAGATTGCTAGACCTGGAGTCAGGAAGATCCTAATTCAAATCCTGCCTCAACAGTATGACCCTGAGCAAGCCACATAACTTATGTCTACCTCAGTTTCTTCATCCATAAAATGGGATCAACAATATCACCTTCCCCGCCCCAGGTTATCTTGAGGATAAATGAGATCGTATTTGTGAAGTGCTATATAAATGCTAATAATTATTACTCCTGAGGCACTGTCCTGGGCTTCCTTCTCTTTAATTCTCCATCTAGGTGAACTCAGTGGTTGGAATGCAGTCCCTCCTTACTTCTACCCCTTCTGAATCCCTAGCTTACTTCAGAGCTGAGCTTATATACCCTACATACATGAAGTACTACCTGATACCTTCCCATTATTTCTGAAATTACTGTCTGTATACACATATATACACACTATACACACTATATCTATATGAAATATACACACACAATCTATCTCATATATATATATGTATATGTGTATATATGTACATATACACACAACACATACACATACATATATACCACTTATATATATTTCCTGAGATCCAGTGTGAGGAGCTCGTATAGAAGAGGACTGTTGTGGTTTTGTCTTTGTATCCCCAGTGCCTATGCTTGGCACATAGTAAACTCTTTTTAAATGCATGTTGGTTAAATGATTGATAGAAGTATATTTGAGACTGTGAGCTAATATTACATAGACTGGAAAAATGCTACAGCTATTTTCTTTATAAGTAGGCTTTAAAATAGAGATAGCTACTCTCCCTTACTCTCTTTAACATAGGAAAAAAACAAGCATTTATTAAGTACCTGCTCTGTGCCAAGTGCTTTACAAATATCTCATTTAATCCTGACAACAACCCTGTGGTAGGTGTTACCCCTTTTTACAGTTAGGGAAATTGAGTTAAACTAGTGACTTGCCCAGAAGCTAGTTAAATGCCTGAGACTGAGTTTGAACCCAGGTCTTTCTGACTCCAAGCTCAGTGCTCTATCAGAGCATCACCTAACTATTCCTAAGATTTCTAATGTAGTGTTAGAAATCTTAGCAGTCACAATTGGTTGGGGGGTGGGGGGAGGAATTAAGCTTTGGCACTGAAGAAGTTAAAGATTCTCTATTTACAATGCTCACAATTGCATACATAGGAAACTTAAGACATTCAATGATAAAAACAATGTAGGTAATAAATAATTTAGGTAATGTAGCAAGATATAAGATAAAACCACACAGATGTTTATTTCTGTAGATCAGTGTCGAGACTCAAAAGAAACTGATAACGTAATATTCTTTATCAAATATTTTAGCATCGATTTATAAAACATATTAGACCTGTAGATATACAACTTCAAAATGATTCTGCCAGAAATCAAGAACTGAACAAATAAACATCTGTACATAGTAAGATAGAGCAAATATATGAATGCCAACACTTCACAAACTAACTTACTGATTTAATATAACACATTGCATTACATAAATAATAAGATTATTTCATAAAATTATAAAGTCAAAATTCACTTGGAAAAATAATATCAAGAAGAATCATAACAAAACAAGAGGAGCAATGGGGAGGAGTGTAGGCTAGCACTATTACATGTGAAAATGTACCATAAAAATTTTTTTATAACTATCTGGTACTGAAAGAAAAATAAAGGAGTAGATCAGTAGATTAGAATAGAGACTCCAAAATAGAACCCTGTGAATAAAAAATTGTATATGATAAACACATACTTTTGAAAACATTGTTTGGTTGTTTTTCAGTTGTGTCTGCCTCTTTGTGACTCCATTTGGGGTTTTCTTGGCACAGATACTGGAATGGTTTGCCGTTTCCTTCTCCAGCTCATTTGATAGATGAGGAACTAACACAGACAGAATTGAATGACTTGCCCAGGGTCATACAGCTAATTAGCGGCTAAGGCCAGATTTGAACTTAGGACAATTCCAGGCCCGGCACTCTATCCACCAAGCCATTTAGCTGCCCTTCTAAAAACATTAGGGAAATTGAATATTCAATGAAAACTCTCTGAAAACTGTGTAGTTTCTATAACAGTGGATTTGGATCCATAACCAGAACTATATTCACATATATTTCAAGTTTTGAAAAAAGGAGTTATAAAGCAACAGTCATCAAAACCATCTGGTATTGGTTAAAGATTAGGTAGAGGAATCAATGGAACAGACTAGATAAGGGAGACTCAGAAACAAGGGAATTCAGTAACCCAGTGTTTGATAAAGAGGAAAACATAAATTACCTTGCGAAAAGCTCCATATTTGATAAAAATGCTGGGAAAACTAGAAAGCAGTCAGGTGAGATTAGGCGTAGACCAACATTTTGCACCACCCTCTACTATACATTCTAAATAGATATGTGACCTTAATATTAAAGATCGTACTAGAAAAAAAATTAGAAGAGATACATATACCTCTCATAGCTATAAGTAGGGAGATGTCGTTTTAGCAAAACAATGGATAGAGGCAGTTACAGAAGATCAAACAGAACTTTGATAGTGCTGAAAAGCTGCTGCACAGATGGTAATGCATCAAGGATAAGAAGGGAAATGGTCAAATGGGGGGAAAATCTTTGTATCACAGTTCTCTAATAAAGGTTTGGTATCCAAGATATATCAATCACACACACATACACACACACACAAAGACTGATAGCCATTCTCCAGTAGATAAGTGGTCAAAGGATATGAACAGTTCTCAAAAGAATTGCAAAGTGTTCACAACCACATGAAAAAAAAATATTCCAAATCACTGATAGTAAGAGAAATGCACATCAAAACAACCCTGAGGTTTACCTTACATCTTGCCAATTAACAAAAATGACAGAAATTGGCAACAGTGTTGGAAAGGTTGTGAAAAGATAGGCCCACTGATACATTTTTTGAAGCTGTTAAGTGGTATAAACATGTTGGAAAGCAATTTGGGATTATGCAAATAAAGTGACTAAAATGTCCAAAAGATTCTCTTGCTAGGTTTATAACCCAAGGAAGCCATCCATAAGAAAAAAGTTCCCATATAATCCAAAATATTTGTAACAGCACTTGTGTTAACTAAGAATTGTAAACAAAGTAGATGTGCGTCAGTTGGAGAAATAGCTAAACAAATTGTGGTACATGAATGTGATGAAATATGACTGTGTTGTAAGAAATGATGTATGTCATGCATAACAGAGAAGCATGGAAAGATCTATATGCACTGATGCCAAGTGAAGTAAGCAGAACCAAGAAAACAAGACTGTATAGTGTAAATGGAAATGACACTGAAAAAAAGTAAATGAAACAAAATTATAAATATCAAGTAGTACTCGAATGAAGAGAAAGGAGAAGACACTCTGAATCTACCCCTTTGTTGTGAAGGAAGGGAACAGAGGGGAGAGAGGGATCCACAAGTATCACATGTTGAATATGTACTGACTTTTTTTTCCTCTCAAAAAATACTATTTTTCGTATGTGATGGCTCTTGGGGAGGAAGAGAGCGATATATGGGATGTTAAGGTGAGATAAGAAACAGAAAATGTCAGTAAACACTTTTTTTAAATAAAAAAGAAAGGAAAACAGAACCACAGATCACACTGGCTAGACTTAGAAAGGGGTGTAGAACAAAAGCCTTTTCTTTCTTTGTTGTTTATCAATTTTGTTTTACCCCCTTATGTTTACCTGTGTTTTTTTGACTGTTTAATGGTGTATGAATTACTTTGAACAAGCAATAATTTTGGTTATCTGGGAGCTGCAACATTTCTTTTTGCATCTAGGTTTAGCCACACCAGTAGACTTGAAACTGAAATTGATCCCCATATTGCAACACATGCATCATGATGCAAGCCTGGCTTCCAGTGCTCGACAACTCCTGCAACAGCTGGTCACATCCTATCCCTCCACCAAGATGGTCATTGTTACACTGCACACTTTTACCCTGCTTGCTGCGTCATCTTTGGTTGATACTCCGAAGCAGGTAATTTTAATTTTCTTCATTAAACAAGTCTTTTTTTCAGGCACTTAAAACTAATAAATGTGTTCCCACCTCATAAATACAATAAAAATAAGCATTTCAGTTTTGATGACTCTTTAAAAGCTGCATTCTCTGGAAGATAGTAGTTAAACCTCCATATATTTGCTCTTTACTTCATTGTAGTTGTTGTACCAATATTTGTAAATCCTTAAGATAAAATAAGTAGTAGTAGTTTCACATCTGGTCATTTGAAAGCCATTCATTACCAGCTGAAACATTTTTATTTCTCTTGTGGCTATAAGGAAGCCATCCTGAAAGATGGTCTGTTTCTCCTTTGCATATGCAAGACCTTTAATCTTGCAGTTACTTAATGTCTGTTATGGGGAAGTTAAAAAGTTTGAATAAGATTCATAGTTTTTATTTACTTTATGAAAGCCCATAATTTGGGGGGGCGGTACGATATTGGTAGAGATGGGACTATCCAAATTGCAAGTGTATTATGTAGGCCTTTATCTACATATGGTCAGTTATAATACTGCCTTTGTATTTATTCACTACCAAGGCATCTTTCTACCCAACTAATTCCTCCAAACAAGTTTCAGGGGCCATAGATCAGGTCTGGGTCAGGGAACTCTGACCCCCTGTCACTTCTTCACGTCTTTTCTTCCCCCTCAAGCATACAAATACCTGACTCTTGCCTTTTCCTTTATTGTCCTAGTCTCATAGCTTAGTTATGTTTCTCATACACAAGCTCCTCTGTTTTAACCAACTTCCTCCTCTTCTGTTTTCAAACTTTTGAGTGCTACTTCATAGAAATTTCTCTGCTGCCCCAGTTTTCATGTATCTATTTTTTTGTTCCATTTGTGAGCCAGAGAACATTTCTAGTTGTGACTGATAAGGAAACAGTGTTTCCATGAATATTAGTAAATTATTATTATTCATTTTTCCTACTGTTCTTATCAGTCATTAAAACTTCTATACTTTTATGTAGTCCTTAATAACAGATATTGCAATTACAAGCTTAAGTTTTTCTGCATTAATTACATGTTAAGCTAGTAACTTCCTTTTTTAGAGTCACCTTAAACTCCTTGCTAGGATTTTAAAGCACCCCAGTCTCATCAGAAACACATTTACAAACCAACCTCTAAAGTGTGAGTTTAAGTTGGTTCTCATTATTTTCTGTTTCAAAAAGAAATTCAGTCTCCAAATTCCTGGTTGGAAGGGGACACCCCATTCCACAATGACTAGCAGTAATTTCTAGAGCTCTTAAAAATGCCCAGAAATCCTCTTTAAATACTGTGAGTTTCCATTTACTCCTCATCTACCTCTAATTAAAGCTGCTTTTACTCATTTACTAGCATTCAGAAATTTTTAAAAGCTGTTTTGTTCAGTTTTATTATGCTTTTGATTAATCAGTAGCATGGCAAAATTATGTTTATGTTTCATAGCAAACATACACTGTTAAATCTATATCATGAATTAGATGTTTTTGTGTAACCATGGAAATTAACTACTATTTACAGTAAGGCTTCTGTGGAAACTTATATTTTGATTTTTAAACTAATTAATTAAACAAATGAACTTTTAGAACAACCTACAGGCATACCTCCTTTTATTGGCCTTTGCTGTATTGTCCTTCATAGATACTGCGTTTTGTGTTGTTGTTTTTTTTTTACAAATTGAAAGTGTGGAAACCCTGCATCGAGCAAATCTTGTGATGCCATTTTTTCCAACAGCACATGCTCACTTTGTGTCTCTTTGTCACATTTAGGTAATTCTCGCAGTATTTTAGACTTTTTCATTGCTTTTATGTCTGTTAGGGTGATCTGTGTGATCGGTGGTCTTTGATGTTACTATTATAATTGTTTTGGGGTGCCACAGACACCACCCACATAAGATAATGAACTTAATAAATGTGTGTGTTCTGACTGCTGTACCTATTGGCTGTTCCCTTGTATCTCTCTCCCTCTCCTTGGGCCTGCATATTCCCTGAGACACAACAATATTGGAACTACGCCAGTTAATAACCCTAAAATGGACTTTAGATCTTCAAGTGAAAGGAAAGGGTCAGTCGATGGCAGACTTCATTGTTATCTTATTTTAAGAAATTGCCACGGCCACCCCAGCCTTTAGCAGCCACCCACCGTGATCAGTTAGCAGCCATCAGCAATGAGGCAAGACCCTCCATCAGCAAAAAGATTACGATTTGCTGAAGGCTCAGATGATAGTGATCATTTCTTAGCAATAAAGTATATTTTATTAAGGTATTTACATTGTTTTTTTAGATATAATACTATTGTACACTTAATAGACTACAGTATAGCATAAACATAACTTTTATATGTACTGGGAAACCAAACAATTCATGTGATTTGCTTTATTATATTTGTTTTCTTGTGGTGGTCTAGAACTGAACCCAAAATATCTCTAAGGTCTGCCTGTGTTTATAAGTTAATGAAATCTCTATTGCCTTGTGCATGAAAAAAATACAAAATGTTTTATTAAAAGATGTCTTGGTAATTTATAAATTATTCCATCAGTTCTCAAATAAAATTTTTAAGCCCTAATTTGAGTTATATTGTTTATGAATGATAACTTCCCTCCTTTATAGATTCAGCTCCTATTACAATACTTGAAGAATGATCCGAGGAAAGCAGTAAAGAGACTTGCTATTGAGGACTTGAAGTTACTTGCAAATAAAACACCACATACATGGAGCAAAGAGAACATCCAGGTATGTAAACTGTAAGCATCAATATTTTTGCATGCTTTAAATGTGATTTAAAATGTGGTTGGGGCCACAGTTTTGTTCTTTGTTTCTTTTTCGAGTAATACAGTCTCAGTGATCAGTGTTCTAAGTTAATAATCTACATTTGTGATAGAAATTGATAATTCAGTAGATCTAAATCAGACTCTTTTATTAAGTGTTAAGGTATATCTTCATTTGTGAATTTAACATATGGCCAGGATTCAAGATCTAAAAAATACTTGGTTTTACAGCACCAAGTTTCTGATGCTGACCCCTTCTTCCCAGTCTCCATCTGAACCACTTACCAGTGACATAAAGATGATGTCTATTTTTCTATTTTCCTATAAACTTCCTGCTGCAGTTTGCATTTGTCATTCTTTTTAGTGTTGGGCAGTAGCTATGTTTTTTCCTTTATCTTTTCCTTCTTGTTCAAATTCAGGAAAAATGTAGTCACTAACATTTTTCCATCCCTGCCCAGGAGACGTTATTTTTCCTTTTCATGGAGAGATGTTCTAGAATTTTCTGTTGCTTTTTAATAATAGTAAACTTCACTTTCAGGTTTTCTTAAAAATCTTAATTATGTAGTCTTTATTTCTAGCTTTTCGTATGTTATCAGATTATAGACTTATCCCACTGAAAATTATATATTCATCATAAAGAATGCTGAAATTTAATTAACCAGATATAATTATTTAGTTATTTTCTTTAAATTCTGAGGGAATTGATTTTTATATTTCATGAACAAAATTTTCATCCTCATGCCACTTGGCTGTCTTTATTTTAGACTAAACCTAAAGCAAGTTCAAAGACTTAAGAATGCAGTGAGCACACATAAAAGATAAAAACTGATTAAGTCAGATGCTAAATCAAAGATTAAAAGAAACAATTTAAAGAATGAAAACCTTAAGGGGCAGCTAGGTGGCGCAGTGCATAGAGCACCTGCCCTGAAGTCAGGAGGACCTGAGTTCAGGTTTGGCCTCAGACCAAACACTTGACACTCACTAGCTGTGTGACCCTGGGCAAGTTACTTAACCCCAATTGCCTAAAAAAATAAAAAATTTTAAAAAAAAAGAATGAAAACTTTAAACCAATACCCAACTTCTCCTGAAGAATCATCATAGCTGGGAAAACATTCCATAGAGGTGTGAAGCAAGGTGAAGGTTTTAACATGGACTTCTCTTGGGCTAGTATTTTATACTGCAAGCATCAGAGAAGCATGATCACCCTGCCTTCCTAAAGGACCAGTCCATGCTGAATAAAAGAGCACTGTTCCTATAGCAGCCCTTAAACTGAGAGCAACAGAACTACCATTTTTAAAAAATACCTTTTGTGGAAAGCTTTTGTCTTTATATCACCTAGGTTTACCACTATTTCACTATCTCTCCCGCTCTCAGAGAGCTGTCCCTTATAACAAAGAATTTTTTAAAAAATAAAGAGTAGGAGAAAACATTCATCACAGCTGATCAGTACATTGAAAAACAAATCTTTATTCTTTTTACCTAAGTGCCTCCATTTTGTATGTAGGAATCCAATTTACCCAATTATTACTTGGGAAGTAGTACAGTTAGAATAATACTTAACTCTTTTTGTTCCCTGTCTTGGGTTCTCTCAGCCTAATACAGCGATGAGAAACGAATAGGTCTTTTTGGGGAGATCCCCATACTATAAAGATAATTCCTCACCTTTATATAGGGCTTGGTGTATAGTTAGAAGCATATTGTATATTTTTCACACCTATGTATAAGAGTATTCTTTACCAAATAAGGAATAAAAGCAATTTTAGAAGATAAATTAGGTAACTCAGATTAAATAGAACTGAAAAGGTCTTATACAAAATTAGATAAAAAGGAAAATAAAGTGCAAAATATATGATCCTATGAACCTGTGATGTAGGTAGTATAGGTGTTACTGTCCCTATTTTAAAGACAAGGATATTAAGCTTCTTATTGAATTTAAGTGACTTGCTTATAGTCACGTAGTTATTAAGTGTGTAAAGCAGAACTGGAACCCATATCTCTTGACTCTCTTACCATTAAAACCATTTACCAACATAACGCTTTTTTTTTGTTTTGGTTTTGGTTGTTTTGGTTGGGCAGTGGGGTTAAGTGACTTGCCCAGGGTCACACAGCTAGTAAGTGTTATGTGTCTGAGGCCGGATTTGAACTCAAGTCCTCCTGAATCCAGGGCCAGTGCTTTGTCCACTTCCCACCTGGCTGCCCCAACATAACACTCTTAACATTATACTTAGACGCTGCCTCTCTGTACTATTGATTATATCAGGCTAGTTTAATGTATTTGTTAAGTAACTTTTAATGAGTCCACTAACTCTAACCCCATTGGCTTGAAAGACTTCATGTATTCTTTCAAAAGAGAGCAGCTTGCTTCTTAGTAAGATAAATGAGGACTGCTGACTTGCTCCTTTCTCTTTTTCTTAAATACTGAGTAGCAGTATGCATATAAAAACAAATGTACTAGTGCATTGAAGGCTAAAATTATAATTTTAAATTTAAACTAATAATTGGGGTGAAATTTGTTCACATTGTTGAAGATAGCCTCAGATTTGACTTTGCCTTTTTTGACTTATGTGTTTACTAGATTAAATCTTAGTCAATCAGCAGGCATTTAGTAAGTGTAAACTATGTGCTAGGTAGGCACTACCCTAAATGCTGGATAGATTAAAAAAAGGCAGAAGACAGTCTTTACTTTCAAGGAAACTCAGTCTATGAAAGAGACAACATGAAATAGCTATGTACAAACAGCTATATACAGAACAAATTGGAAATAATCAACAGAGGGGAGGTGCTAGCATTGTGGGAGATTGGGATCAGCTTCTTATAGAAAATGGGATTTTAGTTGGGACCTTGAAGGAAGCTGTGACCTGAGGTGAGGAAGGAGAGAGTTCTGGGCATGGGGGACAGCCAGTGAAAATGTCATAGTCAGGAAATGAAGTGTCTTATGTGAGGAACTGCAAAGAGGCCAGTGTTACTGGATCATGGAGTGAAGTAAGAAGACTGGAAAGGCAGAAAATGGCCTGGTTATGAAGGACTGTGAACACCAGAAAATTATCTGTTTGATTTTGGAGATGATAAGGAGCCAGTGGAATTTATTGACTTGGGGAAGGGGTGGGAGGATGATCTGATCAGACTTGTACTTTAGTAAGATCATTTTTACAGCCTAATGGAAGATGGCCTGTGAGGGCAGAGACTCAAGGCAAGGAGAAGGCTACTGAAATAGCATAGTAATGAGATGATGAAGTCCGAACCAGGATGGTAGCAGTGTCAGAGAAGAGAAGGGCAGGGGTGGAGTGTGAATAACAGGAATGTAGTAGAATTGATGGTATTTGGCAACAGACTGGTTGTGAAGGGTGAAAGAGAGTGAAGAGTCTTAGATGACAAGTTACCTAGGTGAGCCTTGGTAACTAGGAGTATGCTAGTGTCCTCTAAGTAATAGGAAAGTTAGAAAGAGGGAGGATTTAGTGGGAAAGCTTTATATTCTGCAAGTATCTTACTGCCTTTTGAAGGCAAGTATACTTGTACGTGCCTAGTAGTTGTTCAATAAATGCTTGCCTACCTGAATTTATTATGACCTATTGACAACACAGTATGTTTTGGAATGTATCACATCTTATAAGAGTCACTTCAACTCACTGAGCTAAAGTTTAAATGCCTATTACGTGCAAAGCTCTGTATTCATTGTTAGGAGAGATGCAGGTAAGACACAGAACCTGCTTTCATGGAGTTTAGACTCCAATAGATAGATATGACACATAAACAAAATAATACTAATCCATAAATGCAGGTAGCTAGGCAGTCAATGGCTGGAAGTCAGAAAGACCTGAGTTCAAATCCAGCCTCAGACATTTACTAGATGTATGACCTTAGGTAAGTCACTTAACTTCTCTTTTCCTCAGTTTCCTCAACTATAAAATGGAGATAATAATAACACCTGACTCACAAGGTTATTGTGAATATCAAATAAGATTGTATTTGTAAAGTGCTTAACATAGTGCCTGGCACATAGTAGACAATATATAAGGGTTAACTATGATGATGATAATGAGTAGAAAAGAGGTCCAAGCAAAGTGAAGAGAGGGTATTTGGTTCATTATAATTTGTCAAAAAAGTCTTAAAGGTACCAAAGTGATTTTGATTTTCCTCCATATAAAATGGCGTAACTGGTACTTAATTTGTTTAGAATCTAGAAAAGTTAAACTGAATGGATTATATCAGAATGCTAGTGGGAAGTGATTTAACCATTTTATTTATGTCAATTTTGAATTTCAGATGCTCTGTGAATGTGCCCTCCAAACCCCTTATGATAGTTTGAAACTAGGAATGCTCTCTGTCCTGTCCACATTGTCAGGGACTATAGCAATCAAGCATTACTTCAGCATTGCTCCAGGTAAGGAGGAACAGAGGTCTTCTTCGAGTTACTGCTCATTTTCATAAAATAAGGTTATATGTTTATCTTGAGCTTATAAAAAAGTATTCAAATCCTTAAAGATCCTAAAGTATTTTCATAGTATTCCAGCTTTCATTATGGTTATTGACTAGGCCATCAGTTGACAACTTATTTTTGATGGAGCTGGATCACAATTCAAGAGCATTGCTCTCTTTTGACCTATTAAAAAATTTCCTATGTGGGTAGAACAGTACTTTTATGGATGCTTAAAATGGGAATGTGATTTTATATTTAACCTGATCCCTAAATGGATGATCATTGTACTTACAAAGGCATATTATAACCAACAAAATTGATTAAATCCCATCTCTGTCACAGTACAAAAATACACGTTAAGTCGTACCCAAAAAGTAGTAGTTTATTTACCAACAAGGTTTTTATCCTGAATTTTTTTTCCAGCAAGGTTTTTGGGATGTTTTGCTCTGGTTTTGTTTTTAGAACCAGTTAAGTCATCTGATTAAACAACTCTGTTGCAAAAAGCTGTAGTAGACAAGATTTTGACTCATATGTAAGACAATTTTCTTTTTAAAAATATCCCAGAGAAAGTAAAACTGGACATGTCAAGTGTGAAATAATCAAATACACTTGTGGCTTGATGTTTCTTTCAGTCAACTCCATATATCATATGATTTAGAGCTAGAAGAGACCTTAGAGATTATCCTAATCACCACATTTTATAGGTGAAGAAAATGGGCCCCAAGAAGTAAAATTACTTTCCCATGGTCACATAGGGAGCAAATAGCAGAGTCAGGAGGTGAGCCTGGGTTGTCTGACATCAAACTCAGTGTTCTTTTTACTATGTCAGGCAGTTTAAGTACAATTATCCCTTCCACATCAAGGGTGTTAGGGACACGGTGCTTCTGAGATCTAGAAAATTCACGTAAAATTTTTGACCCTCCCTTCATACCAGAGAAGAAGTCTGAATTTTTTATTTTTCTTTTATGGGGTGTTTCCAGTACCTTATTGTAAAATTTGGGTTAAATATTTGGTCATAAGCTCTGTGTCATCTGCTGGCCTTCATATGTCATGTATAGTTATATAAACACACTTTTATTTGGTAATTGTTCTTTATTAGCCATACAAAGGGAGAGGAGTAATGGGTTGGCTAACACCCAGAATCATTCACATTTGGCTTTGTTGAATATTTTTTATTTCTATTTTAATATGTGTTCCAGATAAATCATACCATAAATCTAGTAATGAAACTATGTTATGATGGCCATATTCAGTAAGAAAGTTAGTCATTTCCCTCATTCCCCCCCCCCTTTTAGCTCTTTTTTTACTCCTCCAAATACTGGCAATTTCTCATGTAAGCACAAAATACCAAACTAATAAGCTAACTCACTTAATATGTCCCCTTTGATTTGCTGTCTTTCTGGCTCACACTTTCATGGGGGGAAGAGATAGGGTACACAAGAGAGCAATCTAGCTGTCCAGCTGGGCTGCTGTATGTATATTATAAATGAATAAAAAGAAATAGTTCTCAAAAATAGTGATTTCTACTACATATCACTTTGCAGCTTACAAGTATTTTACTTCCAGCAACTCTGTGAAGTAAGGTAGGCCGCTGGGTGTCACGGTGGATGAATTTCTGGGCCTGGAGTCAGGAAGGCCTGAGTTCAAATCCCACCTCACACTTCCTAGCTGTGTGACCCTGGGCAAATTACTAAACCTCTGTTTTCCTGGGTTTTCTAAACTGTAAAATGGAGAGAATAATAGCACCTACCTCCTAAGGTTGTTATGAGGTTCAAATGAGATAACAATTATAAAGAACTTAACACAGTGCGTGAGATTTGGTAGGTGCTATTTGAATACTAGGAGTAGGAGTACCATCATTTTTCAAATGATAAAATTGAAGCCCAGAGAGATTGTGACTTATTACTGAATATACTCCTGTTAGGTGTCCAGACTAGAACTCAAAACCCAAGTCTTTGAACTCTGAGTCCAGTTCTCTTTCCGTTGTACCATACTTATTTGTAAGTAAGCATGGTTGGTGATTTCACTAGAAATTAATGACATGTAGTCAAGATAATTTTGTTACGTGTATTATGATTGTGTTATTAAGCAATACGAAGGTAATATTAATATTTAAGTAATAGTAATGTTATTGGTATGCTCTTAAGTATAACCAAGGAAGTTATTTCCAAAGAATTATAATTTGGCAATCTATCATAAGGTGCTGTTGTGCATGAAGAGAACAGTGTTCTGGAGTCCTAGTTCTCACTTGCTGCTCACCAGGTGTGTGGTCTTGATCAAGTCTCTGAGCACGAAATGCATATGTAAAAAGTTTGAGAGCAAAACTAAATGTGAGACTGTTGGTCTTTTCTCCAATATTAGGCTTGTAGTATCACCTATTTTAATACAGTCCATCCTAAAAGTGTGGAATCTTGATTCCTACAGTATACTCATAGTTCTATTATTTGGTTTTTACATTAGTTCTTGTTAGATTTGTTTTTAAAGGTAAGCTCAGGGTAGACTTAGGATGTGAAATCATTTTAAAAATACTTTTACCTAGCCATTCTTTTCTTCCTGACAAAGGGAGAAGAAATGATGTTGTAATACTGGTAGGAATGGAAAAATGAGATGAAAGTAAGAAAAGAGGTTTTAACTTACAAATAAAAAAAGGCATATAATCCACATTAAGGAGTTGCTTATGAAATTACGTATTTAGGAGTTACTGACAAATTACATGTTGTACTGTTTGGCCTTTTTCCTCTCTTCATTTAGGAAATACAGTTACTTCACCAAGGTCATCTGATTTAGTCAGATTGGCACAAGAATGCTGTTACCATAATAACCGTGGTATTGCAGTTCATGGAGTCAGGGTCCTAACTAATATAACTGCTTCTTGTCAAGAAAAAGGTAATTTTAAGCAGTTTTTTGTGTTGGGGACTCATATACTTATCTGAGCTTGGTTTTGTTTTTTTGTTTTTTTGTTTTTCTAACCTCCTGTCATTATCACCTTAAGTAGTTTGTTCTGTAATGGGATTTAATTGGTAAATTTAGAGGTGGAAGGGACCCTATCTAGTCTAATGATCTGACTTTACAGATGTAGAATCTGTGAGGTTGTGACTTGTCAGCCAAGGGGTCACAAAGCTAATAAGTATCACAGGTGGGATTTAAACCTAGGTCTTCCTGACAGGACTAACCAGGACAGACTAATCTGTCAGGACAGATTAGTGTCAGTGGGATTTTCTTGGCAAAGTTACTGGAGTGGTTTGCCATTTCCTTCTCTAGTGGATTAAGACAAACAGGTTAAGCAACTTTCCCAGGGTGACACAGCTATTAAGTATCTAAGGCCAGATTTGAACTCAGGTCTTCCTGACTCCAGGCCCAGCCCTCTATCCACTGAGCCACCTAGCTGCCTTATATTCATATATCTATATCTATATCTATATATATGAATATACAGTGTTCCAAAAGTCTTAGTACAATTTAAAGCTTTAATAGTTTAAAACTATGCTAAGACTTTTGGAACATCATAAAATCCCTGTGCCCAGAGCAGATATTTATGGTGTGTATTGTATATATCACCCTAAATATCTTAAATACAATCACCATATTCAAATTCAATTCAGTAAACCATTTATTAAGCCGCTACTATGTACTAGATACTGTGCTAGTCACTTGGGATACAAATAACAAAGAGTCCTTGTCTTCAGAGAGCTTACAGTCTAATGGGGGAAGACAACACATAAAGGGAAGTTGAAAAGAGGAGGGTTACAGGCATGGGGATTGGGTGGGGTGGGGGTGCGGGAGCTAAGAAGTTACTAGGCGCAGGAGGAGGGTGTCCATGGATCGGAAACCAAGCAGAGCTTCTGATGGAAAAGTGGTGCATTCAGATTCAGCTTCCTATAAAGAAAGAGTTTGGGAGGAATTTAAAGTGTCCTACCCTGTAGCCTTCTAATCCGAGGGAGTAGGCCACTGAGTGAATTGATGAAAGGTGTTGAGTATCAAAAATTGAGTCAGCATGATGATGAAATTTCAGGTTATTAAGTTAGAACTGTCACTCTTAAGTAGTGAAAGGGTATTCAGATAGCAATTTTGATACAAAGGATTTCATTCTTTTTTGGTCAGACTTTACAAGCTAATGAGATTACAAGGGTTCTGGTTTGGCTTATATTTACATATTAGAAGTATAATTCAGCTTTCATTAGAAACTAAAAGTCTCTGTTTTCCTGAATAATATTGCCATGGAAATTAGTTAGAGTGGTCTGCACATAATTTATGTATCTGTTAGAGGGCAGTATTAGGCATATAGATATTAAACATGCTACCTATGAAAGAAGACATAAAGCATGCTTTATGCTTACTGTTTCTTGTAGTACCCCCCACCTGAGAGTTTCCATTACTCTCTAACTTTGTGATGTTGACATTTGGTTTTAATAAGTATTAGGGGTCTTTCATATTTTTCATTAAAGTAATGAAGAAAGTAATAAAGTATAAAGATTTAAATTTCAGAAGAAATGCTCCATTTTTTTTTTGCCTCCATGGATTATTTCAGTCTTTTAATTACTATCTTTGTAATAGCCTTATGAATTTTAAAGACTTCTGTTCTTCAGGCTGTTTGTTCTCAGTGTACTTATATTTTGTTTTTAATATTTTATCACACAAGAATATGCAATTTATTTCTTTAGAACTTTTGGCATTGGAGCAGGATGCAGTCTTTGGCCTTGAATCTCTCCTGGTGCTTTGCAGTCAAGATGATAGTCCAGGTGCTCAAGCAACTTTAAAGGTAAAAAATTACTTGCTTAACATAATTTTTTTTATGTTACATAAACAAAAAGCTTTATTTTAATGTTCACTTTAAAATCTAATCTTTTAATCTACAATATCACAAAAGATGCACAAAATAAAAATTTAAGCTGATTTTTTTTTTCCACCATGGAGGATCAAATGTATCTTTACATGGTACAGTTTTGAAAACTATGAAGCAGGGGCAGCTGGCTGGCGCAGTGGATAGAGCACTGGCCCTGGATTCAGGAGGACCTGAGTTCAAATCCAGCCTCAGACACATAACACTTACTAGCTGTGTGACCCTCAGCAAGTCACTTAACCCCATCGCCTACCCCAAAAAAAGAAGAAAAAAAAAGAAAACTATAAAGCAGATAAAGTTCACAGTCTCTTCTGATTTGGAGTTCATAACCTAAAACATGCAACATTGATGGCAAAACTAAAGACATATATAAAGGCATGTAAACTATATATTTTACCAAGAGCTGTTGGAATGATACATTTAGTCACATGAATATAAATATCTGTTGTATATGAAGTTTCGTGGTGCTGGGTTTTAATACTGTAGTACTAGTGACCAGTTAGGAAAAGCTTCTTAAGGGCAGCTGGGTGGTGCAGTGGATAGAGCACTGGCCCTGAAGTCAGGAGGACCTGAGTTCAAATCCGGTCTCAGACACATAACACTCATTAACTGTATGATTCTGGGCAAATCACTTAACTCCAATTACCTCACCAAAAAAAAAGGAAAAGCTTCTTAAAGACCTTAACTGGCAAAATGGCAAGTCATTTATTTTCTGCAACCTTCAACAACCCAAAAAACCTCAGAAAAGGGGAATTATGCACTAGATACAGAGTACCTAAAACTGAATCCACAAGAGAGAAATATCACATAAGATATTAAAAAAAAAACTCTCATGTTTCAAACTTTAAAGGACATGGTTAAATTTCACATTTTTAGTAATACCGAGTTTGTAGTTAGTCAGGAGAAAAAATATTCAAATACGAAGAGAGACCAATTTGAATAACTGAAGATTACTAAGAAGAAATCAACAAGAAATTAAGAAATTAACTAAGAAGTTACTAAGAAGAAATCAACAAGAAATCAGAGAAAGGAATAGTATTTATATATTTTTTAAGCAACCCAAATTAAAAAAAAAAGCAACCCACATGACACCTTAAACATTTTCATCTAAACAACACTGGTAAAAAAAGATAGACGTTTCCAAAGGGGAAGCGTTTAAGGCATTTTTTGAAAACAACAAAAAGATGAGTAGATTCTTCTTGCAAGTAACAGAGACACAAGAAAAGTAAACAAATATAATTATAAGAAAAAACTAATCAATTAAATCAATTCTTAGGCATATAGGCTATCATTTAAAAATAAATTGAATTAAGGGCTGGAAGAAAGAACAAAGAGGCTGGCAGATCGGAAAAGAATTACAGATACTCTCCTTACATCCTACAACTGAATTAGTATCTTCTTTTGAGGAAGTAATAATATACTGGAAAGTTATGTGTGTGGCAAGGGAATGGCTAAGCAACAGAAGTAAGGTAGTGATGTCTACCCATCAAGCCCATACATGAACCAGTGAAGAGGTAATTCCTTAGTATCTTTAACAAGAGTGAGGGCTGTGGAAAAATGACAAAATCAGTATAAGGCAAGATAGAAGAGTGAGGAGAGAATTTCAGCTCACAATGTTGGGAAATTAAAGAAATAAATGGCACTAAAGAACATTGCCATGGAGGGCAGGGGATATATGTCTGTGATAAGAGACAGGGACTTTTTTTAAGGCGTTTCACCTGAGAGAAACTTGCACATTAGAAGACCATCTTTCCTGAGAAAAGAGTTTACAAGCATATGATCTTACCCCAATAGAATGGATGCCAGGATACCAAGAATAACCAATATCTAGAAATATAAGGAGAAATTAAGAACCAGAGATAGGTTAGCCTTCGTTTAGGAGTGAAGAATAAGCATGGTATAAGAGCATAAGATAAGACTTAGGCTCATGTCTTGGGACACAGTGACTCCCACAACATATTTCTACTTCTATCCAGAATTGCTTCCTTCAACATTGTTATTTTTAAGAGTGGGAAACTTAGCTGTAGTTATGAGCAAGAAAGGCCAGTTGGTGGGCCATAAACAAGACACTTGACCCTCCTTGTACCTTAGTTTACCCATCTGTATGAGGGTGATTGGAATAATTGGTAAGATTATATAGTTTCATATCACTAAAGGTCATCTAGGTCATTTGATCCAACCCACCGATTTTACAGATATGAAAAGTGAGAATCATCCCTCATTCTGAAGGTTAAGTGATAATGTATCCCAGGTTAGTGGTCCCCTCCATTTCTGAAATTCCTTGTTTCTAGATCAAGGATTTCACTCAAGAGTCACTAAGCTTTTAGGATGTAATGGCATTTCCAAGAAAAGGAAGGAACCTGTTTTCTTACTCTGCAGAGGGTGAGAAGAGTCTCTAGGATATTGTACAAGGCGTTTTTATTCCATGTAGTTTGGTACAGATGACCACTGAGGTCCTGTCCTTCAGTTTCTCTGATTCTGTGAATAAAGGCCCAGAGATAATGACGTTTAGATTTGGCCATAAATTTTTTTTCCTCTTAATTGTGTAATAACTCCTCAGGATTAGTTCCAGGTATATCAATAAGGCATTGCCTTTACTTTGATTATTTAATTCAGTTTTAAGCATGGTGAAGTTGGTAAATCTTATTATAGGATTATATTGATTCAATACATGAAGTATTCATAAAAGAAAATTATATTATATCTTCAAGAATTAGCCCACCATGTTGCTAATAATAAGTGCACGTGATTCTTTTGCATTAAGGATGAATTTAGACACTAGAAAATGAGAATTGACTAAACTCTGATTTTTTTTAATTTTGATATGCAGATTGCTTTGACTTGTATGGTGAAGCTAGCCAAGTACCGTCCTCATCTCAGCCAGTCAGTGGTTGAGTCTTTGCTAACTCAGTTGCACAGTGCTCAAGACGCATCCAGGATTCTCATGTGCCACTGTTTGGCTTCCATTGCCATGCAGCTGCCAGTGTTGGGTGATGGGATGCTTGGAGATTTAATGGAGCTCTACAAAGTGATTGGACGTTCTGCTACAGATAAGCAACAGGAGCTTTTGGTAGGAAACCACTTCTTTGGATTGCGTTGTTGATGAATAGGACTCAGGCCAGCTGTATCGATTTTGAGAACTTTTAAACTACAGCTTAGTGAAGCTGACAGGTTAATAATAATCAAGCTGATACTTGCATAGCATTTTAAGGTTTTGCAAAATAGTTTACAGATATTACAGTCAGTAAACATTTAATGTTTACTATGTGCCAGACACATTGCTAAGCACTTGGGAGACAAAAAGAAGCAAAAGAAGTTCCTGCCCTTAAGGTGCTCGTGGTATTACAATTGTAAAACATGTTGGGGTATAGAGTCAGAGGGTGTGGATTCTCAGCTTACCTGTATTACTTTAGGCAAGTACCTTCAACCCTTTGCATTCCCCATCATGAATTAGTTTCCTTATGTGTAAAATGAAGACATTGGACTAGGTGACCTTACAGGTCTCTTCCAACTCTAAATCTGTGCTTTTTTGATCCTTACACCAACCTTTTGAAGTAAATGTCTCATAGTACTTGACCTAATATTTTATTAAATCTAATGGTAGAGAATCAGAGATCGTGTATGTGAAAGTATGAAGTTAATAGGAATATTTACAGAGAGAATTGACTCGAGAACTGGAATTAGAACCATAATGTTTGATTAATTTTGAACATTGAACATGATCTGAAAAGTCCTTTTTAGCTTTGGACACATCAAGCTTCTTCTTAAACTGCCTTTTTTTCCTAAGAACCTTCAGGGGAATGGAAGGGAACAAACATTTATTAGTTTCCTACTATGTGTCCGGGATTTTACATATATATAAGTGCTTTACAGGTATCTCATTTGATTCTCACAATAATCCTTTGAAGTAGGTGATATCATTGTCCCTGTTTTACAGGACAGTTGTTCAACTAAAATACTGCTGCCAGTGTCTCAGTTAAATTCCAAGAGACAAAAAAAAAATTTCTATATGTGAAGCAAGTAAATTAGGAATTTAATGCGGCTTTTGTTTTAAAACAATCAGTTAAAATATTAAAATATCCACCAATTAATAAACCCAGCTCCCTAGATTCCAAATCCAGAGCTGGAGGGGGAGGGAGGGAGGAAAGGCAGGGGAAGAGGGGGGGGGCGGGGAGAGAGAGAGAGAGGTATTTGCGTACCAGGTGTCATGCTCGGCAATAGGCAAACAAAACAATGCCTACTCACAGGGAACTTATATTCTAATGGAGACAGCAAAGACATTTATAGATGTATATAAGATAAATATAAACACATCTAAATATAAAGTTCTGATAGATCTCCATAAGTACAAATAAATAGGAAAAGAAGAAATACAAGGTAGCTTGAGAGTGAGAGCAATGTCAAAGGTGGCTCTTAGGTGCATGTTGAAGGAAGAGGAGGATTCAGTAAGATGGAGATGAAGAGTGAATTTATTCCAGATGTGTGGGACATCGACACACAAAGATGGGGGAATGAAGTGTCCTGGGTGAGGAACAGAAAAGACTATTTTGCTTGGATTATAGAGTGTAGGGGGGTAATAATGTCCAATAAGCATGTACTACAGCTACTATAATCTAGATTGGGTAGGAAATTTTAAGACTGAATCTTAAAGGAGAAGTTCCTGAGTGAATGTGGTGAAGAGGAAATCTCGAAGTTGCCATGGATGGGGAGCAAGGAGAATTCTAATTCCATAAAATCAGAAAGTCAGAAGTTGTGGGTGAAGGTATAGCCAGGAGTGGAGAAGAGGGGAGAAGGGCAGGTGGTTCTGGTGCAGCACCAGCCAATGTATTTTAACTTGCTGACCATGTTGGACCACATAAAATTAATTTCTCCTTCTCTCTCCTTCTCTCTCTCTCTCTCTCTCTCTTTCTCCCTCTCTCCCTCTACCTCCCTCCCTCTCTCCCCCTCTCTCCCTCTCTCTCTCCCTCTCTCTCTCTTTCTCTCTCTCCCCCCTCTCTCTCTCTTCCTGTCTCTCTCTCCCCATCTCCCTGACTCTCTCCACCTCTCCCTCCCTCCCTCCCTCTCTCTCTCTCTCTCTCTCTCTCTCTCTCTCTCTCTCTCTCTCTCTCTCTCTTTCTCTTTCTCTCTCTCTCCCCCCCCGCCCCCCCCGTCTCTCTCCCCCTGCCTTTCCTCCCTCCCTCCCCCTCCAGCTCTGGATTTGGAATCTAGGGAGCTGGGTTTGAATTCTTGCTTAGCTGTTTACTCTTCTGTGTAACTTGGGGCAAGTATGTTAATCTTTCCCAGTCTGTGATGCTTATATATAAAATGAGGAAGATGGACTGTTAGTGTCTTCCAGCTTTACATGAGAGATGCTTGCAAATAGAGGAGGGATTATTCGTTTATTGTATTTGTATCCCCAGCTCCTAGTGCAGTGCCTGCCACCTAGTAAGGACTTAAATACATATTAATTAATTAAACGCTTGAGAAATGCTGGTAGAAACAACTGACTTAAGAAGAAATTTACATATGACCAAAAAAACTATTCTGTATTTCATCCACAAGAAGGCATTGCATGTTGGCACTCCATTGAGTAGTGCTTTTAGTAACAAAGTTTTGGTAGGAAAACAGATGCCAATTAAGTCAGTGTGTGAATGCATCAGTATTGTGGTTGATCTGAAATAACTAGCTAATAAGCTCATTTCTAATTGAAATGATGTTTTCATCTTAAAGACAGTCAGTGTTCCTTAACATTTTGGGGAGTTGTTATTTGGTGTGACCTCAGTAAGCTTTATGCTTGGAATTGACTGCTAGTACAACTAAATGAACCTTTCAAATTACAGGCTATCAGTGGGGGATATTTGTTAATTCTTCTTGCTTAAGTAGTTTAGATTTTTTAGCCTTTATTATTCTCATGAAAGTAGTTAATGTCTCAGAAGTAAACTGCCTTCCTTGCTATTACTTTTGGTTAAAATTTAACTAGAATTACAATATCTTCAAACATTATTGATATTCATGTCTCTGTTAAAGTCTTATGCCAATGCTACATCCATGGCATGGAACGGAATGGATCCAGAGTTCTCAGAGGTTCTTCCAATTTATAACATGCCTAAATGGCCTTCCTGGTAAAGGCATGGTGATGTGCTATATTTATGATATCCTAGCTAAATTTGGAGAGGCTTGTTACCAACTTTGTTTCACCCACAGCAACTTAGGAAGACTATCTACTAAGGAATAGAGGAATTACAATCTAGTCGTCAAAAATAAAATAATAGATCTTTGAAGTTTTGATGAAAATGTCATGCCAGAATGAGAAAAGGAGGAGGAACATTTAGCAGTACAAGAGAATCTACCGCTTTAGAGGAATATCATGGAATATCTTTGCCATTATGTGGATAATTAATTTTTTTTCTTTTTTCTTTGACATTAGGTTTCTTTGGCTACTGTGATTTTTGTGGCCAGTCAGAAAACATTATCTGCTGAAGTTAAAACTGTTATTAAACAACAACTTGAGAACGTTTCTAATGGTTGGACAGCATACCGGATTGCCAGACAGGCATCTAGGATGGTGGGTACCAACCTTCCAAATCTCCTGTGTTGAGAGAAACAACATAAAGCAACCCTCAGAATGAGGGATTACCGACCACATTTACTGCTTAGGATGAAAATATGAATTCCAAGGCTTGGCTTAAGAATTTGAATGATGTAGGGAAAGAAATTTTATTTTAAACTTTTTTTCTTAATAAAATGTATATAATATTGGCCTATATATCACAAGTCATTGGGAGCTTCTTCAGGAGTTCCAAAGATTTGAGTCTGGATAACTATATCTTGTTAGCATAATCTGTTTATTATCACAATATCATCACTACCTACATTCCATAAACCCCACCTCTTCCTTTTCCTGTACTCAAAAGAATTCATGAATCTCTCCACATAAGAAACAAATTTCTGTGTATCTGCGCCTCACTGCCCAACAATCAGCAGAACCTTCACCTGTCCTTTCTAAAGTGGGAAAAAACATAGGAAAGGTTTACTGTTTTGTTTTTTAAGGGGATATATAGGACATCAACATTTCAGGAATCGTTGTGATAAAGGTCTTGCAATAATTAAGTTCGAGGAACACTTAAAAAAAGTTTGAGACAATTAGAACACAAATTATTCGTCCAGTTTATCTTTCTTTTCGTAATAGATTCCAGAGTCTTTTGACAGCTGTTCTCCAGAATAGTAGATAGATAAAAAAAGATGTATGTTCAAAGAGAAGTGTAATGGTAGAGTGGGTAGAGGATTTGGAGTCAGGAAAGCCTAGATTCAAGTCTTAACCTCTGAAACATATCAGCTGTGAGACCTGGTGAAGGGAGTTTCCACCTAGGCACTTCCTTACACCACTGAAATCATAGTTACAGTTCCCTACTATTTCCTCCTTTCCCCCAGAAAAAGTATGCTTTTCCAGATTAGTGAGAAAAAGGTACTGTTGATTTTCATAGTCAAACCTAAATCACTAGCCTTCAATTTATTTTTTCTTTTCTTTTTTTTTGGGGGGGGGGGCTAGGCAAGGGGGTTAAGTGACTTGCCCAGGGTCACACAGCTAGTAAGTGTCATGTGTCTGTGACTGGATTTGAACTCACGTCCTCCTGAAGCCAGGGCCAGTGCTGTATCCACTGTGCCACCTAGCTGCCCCCCAATTTATTTTTTCAAACAAATTTTTGTTGATTTCTTTTTGTGTCATGGATATTTCTCCTAGTATGCCCTCCTACTCACCTCCCAGAGAGCCAACCTGTATGACAGATGATATTTTTTAGAAAAAAAGGAAAGAAATCAGTCAATAAATTTTAAGTCTTAAATTATATGAAATGTTCTGTATCTGTGAACTTCTCACCCCTGCAAAGGAGTTGGATTGAGGTGTCATCTCATGTCTCTTCTTTGGAGCCATGTTTTATCTTTTATAATTTTGTGTTACTTTTTTTGTGTGTGGTAATTGTTCTTTCTATTTGATATTTTTGTAGTCATTGTTTATGTTGTTTTCTTTGCTCTGCTTACTTTATTCTGTATCAGTTCATGTAAGTTGTTCCAGGCTTCTTTATGTTCATCTTTTCTTCCAGTAAGATATTTCACATTATCTTCTATTTTTTTATTCTTCTGGTTTTGTTTTATTGTTTTATGATTTCTCAAAGCTTCCATTTGCTCCATTACTTTTTTTTCTTTAGGCAGTTGGGGTTAAGTGACTTGCCCCAGGGTCACATAGCTAGTAAGTGTCAAGTGTTTGGTCTGATACTAGATTTGAACTCAGGTCCTCCTGACTTCAGGGTCGGTGCTCTATCTGCTGCGCCACCTAGTTGCCCCTTCCATTCTGATTTTTAAGGAATTAGTTTATTCAGTGAGCTTTTGGACCTACTTTTCCATTTGGCCAGTTCTGCTTTTTAAGGCATGGCCTTTTGGACCTCTTTTACCATTTGGCCTAGTCTGTTTTTTAAGGTGTTATTTTCCTCAGTACTCCTTCTGAGTGTGTGTGTTTTGATCTTCCTTGTCACCATAACTTTCTATGGTCAGAGGGTTTGGTTTTTTTGTTTGTTTGTTTGTTTTTTTGGTTTTTTTTTACTGTTGTTTACTCCTTTTCCCAGCCTGTTACTTGACTTTTAACCCTGCTTCCAGGGTGGAGGGCATACTGTCCCAACCTTCAGGGGTTTTGTGCAGCTGTTTTCAGAGATACTTCTAGGGACCTGTAAGTTTTCAGATCTTCCAGGATGGTATGACCTAAGGAGAGGTGTTTACTACTCTCCTGGTCTGTGCTCTGGTCTGTGAGCAACCACAAGTACTCTTTTCTGCCTTGGAACTGTGAGATGGGTCCCCCTCCACTGTGGCCACAAGCTCTGCTATGCTAGTGCTCCTCCTCGCCCTAGGCCTGCCACCCAGGACTGTGACCCACATCAGAGTATGGGCAAAAAAAACAGTCCCATTTGAGTGCAAGCAAAAAGACCCCTGTAATTCCTTCTGACTAGTTATTTGATCCCCTTACCATCTGTGGGCTGAGAGCTCCAGAAGCAGATGCTTTCGCTGCTGATTGTCACTTCTAAGGCCTCCTGTTTTGCTGTGGCCTGGTTCTTTGCTGGTGCATCCTATACTGGGGTATGTTCCATTCTCACCCAGGTGCAACAGGCCTTTCCTGCTGACCTTATAAGTTGTCTTTGGTGTTTGTGGGCTGAGATGTCTGAAAACCACCACTATCAACAGTGATTCAGTCACCCGGAGGCCTGCTCCTAGTTTGCTGGGGCCTGGTGTGAGCTGGCGCAGCCTGTGCTGGCCTACTCACCAGTCTCACCCTGGTGCAGCCTTCCAAGTTGTCTTGGGCTGGAAATTTGTTTTATTCTTGTTTTTTTGTGGGTTCTGCTGCTCTAGAATTTGTTTAGCCATTTTTTAAAGGTGTGTGGAGGGGTTTGGGGGAGAACTCGGGTGAGTTCCTGCCTTTACTGTGCCATCTTGGCTCCGCCCCCTATATCCATCCTTTCTTACAGCACAGTACTATTCCATTAAATTCATATGCTACATTTTGTTTAGTCATTTTCCGGTTGATAGATAACTATTTTGTGGTAGCAAAAAGTGCTGCTGTAGGGACAGCTAGGTGGCGCAGTGGATAGAACACCTCCCTGAAGTCAGGAGGACCTGAGTTCAAATCCAGCCTCAGATACTTACTAGCTGTGTGACCCTGGGCAAGTCACTTAACCCCAATTGCCTTTAAAAAAAAAAGTGCTGCTGTAAATATTTTGGTGTACATGGGGATTTTGTTCTTATCAGTGACCTCTTTGGGGCATAAGCCTAGTAGTGGAATTCCTGGGTCAAAAGGAATGACCTCTATTTTCGTAACTCGAAATTGCTTTCCTAAGTGGTTATACTGATTCACAGCTCCACCCACAATATACCACTGTATCTATCTTCTCACGGCCCTTACAACATTGACTTTTCCCATCTCTAGTCACTTTTGTCAATTTACTGGATATGAGGTAAAACTTCAGGGTTATTTTGATTTGTATTTCTCTTATTGGTGATTTAGAGTACTCTTTCCTAGAGTTGCTAATAGTTTTCAATTCTTTCAATAATTGTTCATATCCTTTGATCACTTATCTATTGAAGAATGTCTTTCGGTCACACACATATGGGGAGGAGGAGTGTATGATGTATGTGTGTATGTATATCTTCATTATATATATTGAATACTAAACCCTTATTTGAGAAATTTGATGCAAAGGTTTTTTTCATGCAATTTCTTTTCCTAGATGCATTAATTTTGTCATGCAATCAGAATTATATATTTTTATCTTTCATAATTGCCTCTGTCCTTTGGTTAAGAATACATCTCTTGCCCATAGCTATGAAATGTATATAATATGCTTCTCTTCTAATGGTTTTTTTTTAATGTGATCTTAAATATTAAGGTCACATGTCCATTTGAATTTATTGTAGAATATGGTATAGGATGTTGGTCTTCATCTAATTTCTGCCAGACTGCTTTTTGGTTTTCCCAGCAGTTTTTATCTAATAGGGAGTTCTTTGCTAAGTAAATTTATAGACTTCAGTTTATAATCAGTTGTGTTTCTTTTGTCTTTGGTTCTGAATTTGTGTAATGTAAGAATAACTTGGTGTGTTTATCCTAAAGAAATATTTTAACTGAGTCTCAAAGCATGTAATACGAAACCTGATTATTGAAACTTATCCAAGATTGCGATTTTCCTTTTCTCTGCAGCACCAATTATTTCAAATGTAAGAATGTCATTTGCATCTTTTTGTCCTTTCTTAGGGTAATCATGACATGGCCAGAGAACTTTATCAAAGTCTGCTTACTCAGGTAGCCTCAGAACATTTCTACTTTTGGCTGAACAGTTTGAAGGAATTCTCCCATGCAGAGCAGTGTCTCACAGGTTTGCAAGAAGAGGATTATAGTTCAGCACTTTCCTGCATTGCTGAGTCTTTAAAATTCTACCATAAAGGGATAGCATCCTTAACAGTAAGTCTCTTTTGCTGCAATGATGATGACGACCTATGTGGAAATAGACTTATCTGAGTTGTCATTTAATTACCTCTTTTAAAGATTTGTAAAAACTTAGTAAAATTTCTTGGACGTATTTAAAAAGGAGGGTTTATTATTTATGACCCTATACTTATTTAGATTGCTATTTGGTAGGATATTGATAGTGAATTCCCTTTTTTAAAGCATTCACAGGGAACCAAAGTTTAGTTATTTTAAGAGCAAATCTCTTGCAGCAGGACAGATGCCAGATATGTGTAGAAAGTATGAATGGAATAAAGGTAAGAGTCCTCCCTTTCTATCTTTCTGCTATATAGCACTCTGCCCAGGTTATTAACACTATTATTAACATCAAACCACATTGGCTAAGCATCTACTTACTCATGGCATCTTGTTGGGAAGGGCAAAGTATTCCTTAAAAAATACTGCAAACAGCTGTTCTAATTATCTTTTCTTACAGTTAATGAAGAAAGGGCTAGGTAAGATTAGTAACTAGGAATTTCATTTCATGTAAAATCTTAGAGTTAAAAGAGACCTTTCAGGTCATGTAGCCTTACTATTTGCCCAATTCTGGTATCCTCTCTACAAAATTCTTGAAAAGCATTCCAGTATAGGTCTGAACAGTCAGTTAAACATTTATCAAGTCCCTGCAGTATGCTTGGCATTATGCTAAGCGCTGGTGATGCAAAGAAAGGCAAAAGTACCTGCCCTCAAGGAGCTTATAGTCTTATAGGCAAGTCAGTATGGACACAACTATGTATAAACAAGCTGTATTCAGAATAAATGGAAAGTAATCAACAGAAGGAAGGCACTAGAATTAAGAGAGGATTGGGAAAGGCTTCCTGTAGAAGGTGGGATTTTACATGGGACTTGAGGAAGACAATTCCATGTGTGGAAGACAGCTTAGAATTCACCATCTTGCAGAGCAGCCCTTCCCATTTTTAAATGAATCTTTAACTGTTCTACTTTTTAAAATTTCTGCTTTTGGGTCCTATTTCTGTTCTCTTAATAAAGACTGTTTTCTCACATAACAACCAATCAAATGTTTGATGAGAGAGAGAGAGAGGGGTGGAGAGGAGAATGAGAATTACAGGGGAAATGGAAGGTAATCTTAAGGAACACACTGTCAGTGGAAGGGACTGGCAAAGGCCCCCTGCAGAAGGTGGGATTTGAGCTGAGACTTGAAGGAAGTCAGGGAAACCAGGAGGTGGAGGTGAAGAGGAAGAGCATTCCACGCATGGAGACCAAGTCAGTCATTGACTAGGCATGGTCAGGAGATGGAGTCTTGTGGGTAAGAAATAGTAAGAAGGCCTGGAGAGAGTACATAGCATTTGTGACCATCATACCTAGAAGCTCTGACAGATGAACCATTACAGTGTGAGTATGCAGAATGGGAGAACGTGTTTTTTCTTCCAGGCCATACTTAGACCAAGACTTTTGAAGTCTGATTTTCACTCATTGGTTGAAGACGGGAATACAATATCTCTTTCAAAGGTTAGCTCAGTGGATTACATTTTTAAAAGTTATTTAGTCATTCATTTATTTCTATTGAATGGCCAGGAGGTATAACTTAACCAGTCTAATCTGGCTGGATATTCTGAAAATGAATTGTGACTCAAATAATGAGAGTAAGAAATCCATCTTTTTCAGTAAAGAGAACTATTAGTTCAGGACAAGCAGAACTACAACAGTAATGTATAACTTACGTAGAGCAGAAAATTTCTTAATTGTTTTATATAATGACACTGGACATTGTGAAGTAGAATAACAAAACAGTGAGGCAGTTATGAGTTGAAAAAATTTTTATCGGTGCCTTTTTGATCTGCTTTAAAATGTTTTTATTAAGCATCCACTTTATAAAATTTGAAATTAGCATTTGTTCGTTTCATTTTGTAAAATCAGATTTGAGGAAGCTTCTTGCCTCTTATTTAATGAGAAAAGAATTAAATCTAAAGGAGCATAATAATAGCTGATGTTTAATTAACATTTTAAAATTTGCACAGCTCCCTATAAACATCTTATTTGAATCACTAGAACATAGCCCTGTTTGCTTACTTCCCAATTAATGAATGATCAGTCCATGTCCTTATTAGCACATCTGTGAGAAAGTGACTGGTTTTTAGCTGTTCTGCCAAACCAGTTGGAGATTTACAAGTTTTCAGGGGCAGGGAACTTTTGTGAACCTGGGTATTTAATTCCCCAATATTTGGGAAACGTATCCATAGGAATCTGTTTACATTGGAAAAGCAACTTATTAGCTGTTTTCACCTAATAATAACTTGAACCTATATTGACATAAGTGACTCCTTTTAAAGGGGAATTTTTCTTGAACATCCATAATGGTAACTGTTGTTATTAGTTGTACATAATATTGAGAGTGATGTAAAAATAGGATCCTGCAAAATTGTTTAAAATTTTTTTTAGGTTACTGCTTTGACTCAGATCCTGAAGCATTTTTCAGCTTTTTAGTTTCATATAAGCATTTGATTAGATGTGCTAGTGTTGGAAATTCTGTATTTTGTTATTTTATAATTGAGGAGGGGGGGAGAGGAAGAAACAAACATCTACTATGTGCCAGGCACTGTGTTTAAGCACTTTACAAATGTCTCATTTGATCCTTAAAACAGCCCTTTGGGATAGGTGCTATTCCCATTTTATAGTTGAGGAAGCTGAGGCAGGCACAGTTAAGTGACTTGACAAGAGTCACACAGATAGTAAGTTTGGGTTGAAATCAGGTCTTCCAAACTTCAGGCCCCACACTGTCCACTTTGTCTCCTAGTGTCCTGGCAAGGACCTATTATAAGTAAAGAGATACAGGGAAAATATGAATAAAATAAATGTAAATTATTTTAATATTTGGGAGCCCGTCATTCTGGTACTCACGCAAGCAGTAGCTAACTTTGTGATTTTGGCCAAGTTACTTAACACATCTGATCTCATATTCCTCAAGTATAAAATAAGAGTCTTAAACTAGTTACTCCTAAGTTTCCTTCTAGTTCTAATGTCATATAATTGGGTGTTTGATAATAATTTCAGAAAAGGGGAAATTGGGAGTATATTTAGAATCTGTAGTAAGATTACCTCGTTTCTCAGTGATTTGGATTATTTGATGAGGGAAAGAAGGGAATAAGCATTTTTATATAGTATCTGCTGTGTGCCAGGCACTGTGCTGAGTGCTTTACAAATATTATCTCATTTGATTCTCACAGCAACCCTGCAAGAGAGGCATTGTTATTATCCCCGTTTTATAATTAAGGGAACTGTAAGTCCACTACTAAAAGCAGTTAGAAAATAATTCATAAACTAAATATGTAAAGATCACCTCAATTCACTGACTGAGGACTTGAGACATAATGATGAATTTATCAGTTATTATATTCTGTTTTATAAAGTTCTTTTCAGAAACAACCTATCAAGTACTTTTAATAATACTAATCCTAGTCTTTGCTATGAAGTAGGTATATATTCTTGTGGAGAATTCTTCAATATAATCTTTCAGGTAATCTAAAGCTAAACCTGTGGGCACCCCTTAAATGAAGACGCCTAGAATTTGAGCAATCACTTATCAGAAATGTTGTAAAAGGACTCATGTTTGAAATAAATAATGACCTGGTTGTCCTCTAAGGTCCTTTTTAACTCCAGGTTTTTGTAATCAGACTAGAAGCATTAAATAGCTGTTATATCTGGATGGATGGATGGATGGATGGATGAAAGGAAGGAAGGATGAAAACTCATCATATGAACCAGGGTTCAGAAAATTAGAAGGGACCTTAGAGGTGGGACTTCTAGTCCAACTTTCTTCCTAATGCAGAATTCTCTTTGATAAGTGATCTGCTGCCTCTAATGAAGGGAATTTCATACCTTTGGAAGTAGTTGTTTTCTCCTGTTGAACTCAAATCTACCCACCCTTCCTTGTCATTTTCACCTTTTGGTCCTAGCTCTGTGGCATGGCGCTGTGGAAAAAGATCTGGCCTGAAAGCCAAGAAGGGTTCAAGTCCTAGCTCTGTGGTGCTGGAAAGTGACTTAGCCTTTCAATACTCTAGGCAACTCTGTCTTTTAAGTTGCAGGGAAATTTCTGGCCTGCATTTTTGAAATTACAGGGTGAGTCATTATCCTTCTCTATCCTCAGGAGCAACACAGAATCAATTTATTCTGCTTTCCACATTGTCTACTCTTCAGCTATTTGAAAACATCTGTCATTTCTTTAAGTCTTTACTTCTCCAGGTTAAGCATTTCCATTTATTTTCAGCATTCTTCCGTTTGGTATGGTTTAAAGAGCCCAACCAACACAATCACCCTCTCAAAATGTTTTATTTCGTCTTTTAATACTGGCTTCCAGAACTGGCCATAATACGCACCTGGCACAAGCGAAGTTGTTGTTCAGTTGCTCAGTCATGCCTGATTCCTTGCGATCCTGTGGACCATAGCAAGTCAATACTATCCATAGGTTTTCTAGGCAAAGATACTGGAGTGATTTGGCATTTCATTCTCCAATGGATTAAGACAAACAAAGGTTAAGCAACTCTCCCAGGGTTACACAGCCAGTAAGTCTCTGAGGCCAGATTTGAACTCAGGTCTTCCTGACTCCAGGGCCAGAACTCTATTCCCTGAGCCTCCAAGAGCACAGTACAGTGCTATTATTCCTTGCTTTGATCTGGATGTTATAATTGCATAACCCAGGATTGTACTACCACCACCATTGAAGATTACAGTTGCACCTAAATCCAGCATTAAAATCTAGATTGAGCAAAAGTTTTCATCAAGGGTCTGTTATCTTAAGAGTACCTCTGCAAGGACCCATTCTTAGATTCTGTGGCCTATGGGATTAAAGACCATATTTATTCATTGAGATCCTGCATTTGAATCTTGGTATTGCCTTTAGTGATATTTCTTGCAGAGCCTAGCACAGTCTTTCACATGATAACCACTTAGTAAATACTTGTTGAATTGAGTTAAGTTACCAGAGGGTGAGACTAGTTGTCTGAGGAGAGCAACTTGTGAAAGTTGTAGACTAAGCTTCACAATTTTTATTCTATTGGACTTTGATTAATGGACAGTTATTACAGCCCATTTCTGGTGCCCTGAAGTTACACGTTTGGTCCTACTGTAAAAAGAATATTGCTTATTTGTAATTGTAATGGCTTATTTTAAGCCATTCATACTATAGAGAAAAAGTAAATCACTGGTAATTACTTACTAGTGGTTTGAATTAGCTGGGAAAGTAGGCCAAATCAATAAATACTTGTTTGTCTGCCATATGCAAGACACTGTTCTAAGCCAGATCATAAATAAAAGTAATTTATCTTAAATGCTTCCTGCCCCACCCTGCAAAGTCACTCATGTTAGGTCATCTGTCTTTCTGGCCCTGCTCTCCTTAGCCTGTTGTACTCAGATCTTGCTATTCACCTGTCACTTCTCCAAACAGATATACCTGCATTTAAACTTATCTCTGCCAAATTTTATTCTTCTTTAGTTTTTGGATCTTCTCAAGAATCAACTAGCTAGTTTGGTAAATGAGTACGCTCTAGTGGTAGAAGATCACTGTTTTCTGTTGGTGATTGTATATGTTAACAGTGGTCTCCTAGGGACATTCTTCCTCTTTACTTTTTACATTTCCAACCATTACTGGCCCTAGTGAAATTTCAGTTCCAGTGGAAAGAAATGATGCTATATCATGATAGGTTGGTAAGGTAAATAAATGTTTTAATATCTACGAACTCTAGTAGCACCCCTCAAATCATACTTTATACATTGTGACTTCTTATAGGTTACTGCCTATTCTTTCCACACATCATACCCCAATCCTGAATGTAAGGGTGACTCATCATTTCATTCAGACCCATATATTTCTTAAGATGATGATGTCTCATAGTCCGTGTTTACTCCAGTAAGCTTGTTTTTTTTGTTTGTTTGTTTTTTGCATTAGGTCATTTGCTTTATAAATCTAGGCATTCATCCATTTGCATGAAAATTCTGTTGTCTTGGTTTGGATTATACATTATCTTAGTATTATTATTGAATGAACTATAATAGTTACTTGACATTGCATCATCTTAGTATTATGTTTGCTTTATGTCTTAAACTTTTTTTTTTCTAGGCTGCCAGCACACCACTGAATCCTCTAAGTTTTCAGTGTGAGTTTGTAAAACTCAGAATTGACGTTCTGCAGGCCTTTTCTCAACTTTTCTGCACCTGTAATAGTTTAAAGACAAGTCCTCCACCTGCTATTGCTACAACCATAGCCATGACCTTGGGGAATGACCTTCAGAGATGTGGCCGCATCTCTAATCAGGCATGTCTCAGCTCTGCTCTTGAATAGATTTGTCTTTTAGTGTTTTTAGAGGTTTTTTGTAAGGTGAAAAATCTTAAAGTTTGTCAGTTGATAATGGTTTGGATTCTAGAAATAACTATACAAGGTTATTAAATAATCTTGCTAACAGTTGACTTGTATGTTATTTTCCATTTGACTCTTAGCAAATTTTTTATTTCAGATTTTTACAAAGGAAAATACTTTCATGTGAAAAAGTAGACCTGCATGTGTTTTGTGTTTTTTATTCTATAAAAATCAAAGTATTACCTTCTTAGTGGAAAAAAGTATTTGTTTTTCATCTAATGGATGTGGAGATTTAATTTAGGAGACATTAAGATATTTGAGTTTGTAAAATAACCAGAAAAAAAAATGTTTTACATCATATGTACTTATTTTTATATGCGGATTATTATACTTCTGAATATTTATGCCAACTCCATCTTTTTGCATTTCTTAGAAATGCTTAGTTAACATTCTGCTTTAAAACTTTCTAAATTTAAATGATCTAAGAATTAAACATTCACCAGAATATTCATGAATTTAATCAGTTGGAGACAGATTTTGTTTCTTTTGGCTTTCTTGTTTACATAACAACTTAAAAATTTTTGTCGTCATTGCATTTTTCTTTCTTTATAGATGAAACAGTCTATGGAAGAATTCCGAAACCTAGCTTCCCGTTATGAGGATCTGTATCAGGCATCTTTTGATGCAGACTCAGCAACGTTGAGGAACATTGAGCTGTATCCTGCTGGCCCCAAATTTATTGTACTTTTTAAACATTCTTTTAAGTACAAAGTATTATTTAGTAATGCTTCTTTGACAACATATGTAGCCCATCAAAATGAACATAGCAAATAGTGCAATTTTTAAAAGCTAGCATGGGATATTCATATTTACCATATCATTTTTAAAATAATAGGTATTATTTCTAGTATGTTTTGCCTTGGGAACATATAAGAATTTGTTCCCTTCATAAGGACCTCTAGAGAAAGGAGGCACCACGCTAAGGCACATCTTACTGATGGTAATCAGTTATATCCCTTAAACTACAAAAGGATAATATATTTTTCTTCTGGAAAGCCATTGTTGTGACTCTCTACTGCTTTCTTTACTTCTTACTAAATAATTCTAGTTTATAAGATCATAGATTCAGTATTAGAAGGGACCTTAGAGGTCCATCATTTCTTATTCTTTAAACTTTTAATCATCGTTGTTTCCTCAGACCTCTGAGTTAATTCAAGTTGTAGAACATATAAATGCATGATTAAACCAGGAATTCTTAAACCTGGGTCCCACCGACTTCTAAGGGGTGATTGTATAGATTTCAGGGAATCTGTGAGGGTAGTGAAAATTGCATCTTTATTTTCACTAACTTCTAACAGAAATTTAGCATTCCTTCAGTTATTTTAAACTGTTATTGTGAGAAAGGAGTCTGTGACATAATAAAGGTTAACCCTTGTGATAGACTAAGAAGGATAGAGTAACTTCTGTTTGTTTAGCCTATCTCTCTTAACCAGGAAAATAGCCTCCAAACCAGTTTTATTATACTGTAATGATGATGTTGCTCCTGCTAATATTGCTGAAACGTTTCATTGCCATAATGAATTTTCATATATCCAGGAAGGAAATGTGATATATTTGAAAAGAGTGCTTGCGCGGGATTTAGAAAACCTAGGCACTCATTAAGATTCAGTCACTCAAATGCCTTATGACCTTAAACAAGTGGCATGATCTATTTGAAACTTAGCTTCTTCATTTGTAAAATATGCTTCACATACACCAACACATTTGATTATCACAACCCTGTGAGATTACCTCCATTTTACAGATGAGGAAACCAAGGCTCAGAAGGTAATAAGCAATTCACCCAGAGTCAGCATAGCTCTTAAGAGCTGGCTCGTTACAGCAAAACTCAAACCCCAAATCATTGCATTTCCTGCCAATTTAAAAGTCTTATATTTATTTCATAATAAAATTCTTTATTTTAATGTATTCCTTTAATATTGAATGGCAGCATTATTGTTCTTACGAGTTGCTAACCTTCAGTGGAGGATTTTTCGTACTGGGAGTTCCATATACTGATGAAATCACAGACCTACCGGTCTGGAAAAAAAGAAAAAAATCCTTAATGTTACTCTAGACAGCAGCAGAGTTGTTTGCTGATCTCTCATGCAATAGAAGCCCTGATTTTGGATCCAGAGTCAGCAAGGTAAGTCTTATTGAAGTGTTACTTTATATCTGCCACATGGTAAAACTTTAACATAAAAAAATCAAGTTAAGTGTGCTATGGCTTTAGCTTGAAACTCTCATCGCTTGGCTTTCCAAATCAGAAGAAATTTGAATTCCTTCTTTCTAAAATTTCTTCTCCAAATAATAGGGCCCTGAGCAATGTTTTGTCTTTCTTGTGTTTTATGATTTGGAATATGCATGTAAAATTGAAGTTGCAAACTAAAATTTCTCAAAGAGAACATCAACAGAGTAGTTTCAGCATCTCTCCCTCAAATATTGACTTCCTATCACTGTAAGGCTAAGATCTGTCACCACTTGATCCATCAGATTGTGTCACATTGCTTAGCTGCTCTTGCCTCATTCACTTGGACTAATTCTTTTAGTCACACTAATTCTTACTGCCTTTATGCAGTCACCCAATTCATGTTTTTGTATAAAAGCACAGTCCATTTTTACTTAGCTTCTGTCCTTTTTAATTTCAAATAGTTATTAAACTCACATCTCAATGATATAACCTTTCCCAGAACCACGTCTTCCTTGCTCTCTGATTGTTCAGTTTCCATACTCCATCATTCTTCACATAAATATGCTCTTGCATTTGCCTGATCCCAGACTTCTGTTTTAGGACAGCTTCCTGTTGCCAAGTCTTTCATGTTCTACTTCTAAAATCATGGTCCTTTTTAGGGGTAGCAGGGGATGGGGGGAGCCTAGGTATAGATCTAGAAAGGCCCTTGTAAGATATCAAGTCCCTAACCCCCTCAGTTTACAGCTGAGAAAACTGAGGCTCAGAGAAGTTGTGACGTGCCCAGGACCTGGTATAGTATTTGAACCCAGGTTTTCTTGACTCCATGTCCTATACTCTCTACATTTCACCAAGTTGCCTCTTTCTAATATTAGTGTAGAGAACTCCAGCTTAAGCAGCTCACTCTTACAATACTATATCAATAACTGCTCTATAACTTTAGTCTTACCTGGGGCACTGAGCATCACTATATGTGTCAGAGACAAGAATTGAATATAGGCTTTCGTGACTCCAAGGTTGTCTCTTTTTGGCTGCAACTCCATTACTAAATTAGGGGCGGCTACGTGGCATAGTGGGTAAAGCACTGGACTTGGAACCAGTAGGACTTCATCTTCCTGAGTACAAATCTGATCTCAGACACTCACTAGCTGTGTGACCTGGGCAAATCACTTCACCCTGTTTGCTTAAGTTTCTTCATCTGGAAAACAAGCTAGAGAAGGAAATGGCAAACCGCTATTGCCTTTGTCAAGAAAATCCCAAATGGGGTCACAAAGAGTTGGACACAACTGAAATGACAGAATGATAGTTATTAGTGATTTAGATTTTTTCATCTGGTTATTGATAGCTCAGATTTTGTCCTCTGAAATTTGCTTGTTTTTATCCTTTGACCATTTATTAATAGATGGATGGCTTTTATTCTTGTAAATTGACTCAGTTCCGTATATATCTTAGAAATGAGACTTTTATCCAAGAAATTTGCCATATTCCCCCATTTACTTCTCTTCTGATTTTAGTTTCATTTTTTTTGTTTTTACAAAACTTTTTTAATTTTATGAAATCAAAATTGTCCATTTTGCCTTCTGTGACTCTATTTGTCTCTTGTTTGGTCATGAACTCTTCTCAGTCCATAACCCTACCGGGCAATTTCTTCTTTGCTCCTCCATTTTGTTTATTATCTTGTTATGCAGTGTAGATGTTGCTCTATGCCTAATTTCTGCCAGTCTGCTTTCCAGTATTCCCATCTATTTTTATTGAATAGTGAGTCTTTGCCCCAGTAGCCACATTCAAGTCCATCCTTCTTCCCTGGGCACCTCCATCCATGCTAATTCTTTCATTCTCTGAATTACTGTTGTATTTTTTAAGCTGTATCTATCAGATCTCATTTCTGTATTGCTTAGTATTGTTAACAATATTTTATGCACAGTATGTTTTGTCTTCCCAGCAAGACTGTAGACTCCTTGAAGGCAGGAACTGTCGTTTATACATCTTTATGTCCCCTAGGGCAGTGGTGTCAAACTCAAATAGAAATGGATCCCTGCTGGCCTTATACTTAGAGGTTATTTTTATTTATTTTTAATAGTTAAACATTTCTCAGTTACATTTTAATCTGGTTTAGGCTGCACTCCTATGCCATATGCAGCCTACAAGCAAATTGGACACCCCTGCCCTAGAGTATTTGTTGTGATGCCTTATGATGTAGTATTTAATCAATTTGCTGATTGATTGGACGGTTTCTTCAGTTTCCAGGAATATGGTTCCACTGGATCAGCACATGCTGATAGTGAATATGAAAGAAGAATGATGTCTGTGTATAATCATGTCTTAGAAGAGGTGGAATCACTGAACCGGAAATATGCTCCTGTCTCTTATATGGCAAGTAGCAGTATTTTTACTGTGGGGATGAATTATTTATTATAATGATCATTTGCCCTTAAATGAATTTTAAGTTGAACCATATTACCCTAGCAAAGCATCAGATCGATACAACTAAAATGTGAAAATATAATATGTATACATGAATGGATTTAATTTAAGTTCATTCTAATCCTTATCCTGTCCCCTGAGGTATATAGGGCTGTGAATAGAAATGGAGGAGTGAGTGAACACAGATTTCTTTTAGCTACTTGTTTCTTCTGTCTGGTTATCAGAAATTAAAAATACAAATTGTTCTTAACACTGAATGATTGTGTCAGTGTTGTAGCCACAAAGTCTGCTATCCTCTGGCCCAAAATTTTGACATAGTCTCTGAATTCTAAATTCCTTGTAATAACAGCCATATTTGTCCAATAACAAATTCTTTCTGATTGCCACTTGAGCAGGTTAAATAGTTAATTGTAGTTTAAAATCATTTTTTAGATTATTCCTAAAGTTTATTTTAGCAATTCAAAATTGTCTTTTCAGAATTTGTAGTCAAGGTAAAACACTGAAACACACCAACCTTGCCTAGGTGCTATTAGAATTCCATTTTTGCATTGCTCACATGACAGCTGTCATCTGTCTGGACAAACTTATGTGCTGTTGTTCTGTGAAGCAGAACTCTAGGCTAGGCAATGTCCAAAGGGCTAGGTTTGCATTGTCTATAGTGTAAAAAGCACTGAATTAAGAGTCTAGAAATTGTATTCTAGACCTTCTAGACCTTTTTGTTCTCCATTAAGCTCTTTGTGTCTCTTGGTATTTCATGTCTTAAAGATGAGCTTAAACCAGATAATGATCTCTAAGGTCCTTTCAGCTTGAAAATTCAGCAACATATCTACCTTTAAAATTTGAACAGTTCACTGTGTATTTCTTCTGAGTGGGAAAATGTCTTGCTCAAAGTTTAGCTTCATTCCTTGAAACGTTATTTTAGAAATAAAGTGTTAATGTTAATACATTTTTAAGTGACAAAATTGGAGATAGCTGAAATACACAGATACAGAGAATCTGTACTGTAGTTACCACTGCTTACTCACTTTCTGTGGACTCATGGCTTTAGCAGTGGTGTAAATGGAAATAAAAAGATTGCAGTAAAACTTCACCAGACTGAGGTTGCAGGCTTGAGAGAATATGTACTAACCACTATTCTTTCACCCTTCATATGTACTATCACTCTTTCCAGCATACCTTTTTGTATGGTGGAGAGGAAGGCAACATGGACAGAAGAGCACTGACATTCATGTTATTATTATCTACAAACCTCCAGGTCACCATCCCACCCCTACCCTTTCCTCAGTGTGTTTGGTACCTGACTCACAATTTTTCTTTCATACTTGGGGACTTCAGCATAGAAACTGATTCTTCCTCAAGCATCCTAACCACTCAGTTCATCAACCTACTCACTTCCCATGGCCTCTTATTCCACACACCTCTGCCACACACAAAGGTAGCCATATCCTTGATCTTGCCATCCGCCACAAATGCATCACCTCCATGTACAAGAATTCCAAAATCCCCATATCTGATCATAATCTGTTGGTTTTTCACATTTCCATCTGCCCAGGGTTACCAAATCACACCCTCAGTTCTCTTCCATACCATCTTCTCTGCACTTGGTGCTCTCTCCTCTTTTTCCCATCTTGACCTAGCAAGCCAATTCAATTCTGCACTGTCCCTTTGAATCTTTAGCCCCCCTATATTGCTAAATGTGCCTTGCCAAGTAAGCCTTTGCCTTGTATCACGCCCACCATATGCTGCTTTTGGTCCTACACACATATGTATTACAGAGTGAAGGTGGAGAAAAATCACACAACCTTTCTGATTGAGTCCACTATAAATTTATATTACATGAGCTCCAGTAGGCCCTCACTGTTGCTAGACAATCCCACCGTACCTCCCTTGTCAACTCACTATTCCACTCTCTGATATAGTTCTTCCAAACCTTTTCATCTTTCCTCAAACCCTTCATGGGTCCCCCTCCTGTCACCCTCTCAGCTGAGAACTTTGCCTCATCTTTTACAGAAAAAAATTGAGGGCCTTCACTCTCTTTTTCCCTCTTATTCATCTCATATCACTCATATGCCTTCTGACGCTATGGCCTCCTTCACCTGTCTCTCCTGAAGAAGTGACCCAACTCTGTACCAAAGCAAACCCTTCTACCTGCACAGGTGATCCCTTTCTATCCTATCTACTCCAACAGACTTTCTCCTGTCATTATCCATATTTTCCATCTCTTCCTCTCTGCTTACTGCCTGCAAACATGCACATGTTTCCCCTACCCTGAAAAAACCCTCACTTGATCCTTCATCCTTGCTAAACATTATCCTATTTCTCTTCTTCCATTTGTAGCTAAACATCTTTCAAGAGGCTTTCTCCAGTGGGTGCCTCGGTGTTCTCTTCTCTCTCTTCTACTGAAACTGCTTGCTCCAAAGTAACTGATGATCTCTCCATTGCCAAATCCAGAGGCTTTTTCTCAATCCTCATTCTCCTTGACATCTCTGCAGCCTCCACCACTGTTGATCACTCTCCTTGATACTCTCTTCTCTGTAGGTTTTTAGCACACCACTCTCTTCTGGTTTTCCTCTTACCTATCTAAGCACTCCTCTGTCTCCTTTGCCCTCTAACCATAGGTGTCTCTCAGGGTTCCATCCTGCACTTTTTTCTTCTCCCTCTATTCACTTTAATCTCATCAGGTCCCATGGATTTAATTACCATCTCTATGTTGATGATTCTCAGATCTTTCTCTATTAACCTCCAGTCTCACATCCCCAACTGCCTTTTGGACATTTCAAACTGGAAGTTCAGTAGACATCTTAAATTCGCCATGTTCAAAACTGGACTCATCTTTCAATAGTCCTCTCCCCTTCTTGAGTTCTATGTTACTATCAAAGGCAACACTGTTCTCCCAATCCTTCGGGCTTACAACCTAGATGTCATCCTGGACTCCTCACTATCTCTCACCTCCCCATATCCTAGCTGTTGCCAAAGTCTATTAGTTTTACCTTTGCAACATCTCTCAAATACACTTCATTCTGTCCTCTATTACTGCCACCAGCCCTGGTACCCTTCATCTTCTACTATTGCTCTATTGCAATAGCCTTCTGGTGGGTCTACCTGCCTCAAGTCTTTCTCCACTCCAGTCTGTTCTTCATTCAGGCTCTAAAGTGATTTTCCTAAAGCTTAGGTCTGACCCTGTCACCCTCCTATTCAGTAAATTCCAGTGGCTTCCTGTTGCCTCCAGGAATAAATACAAAATACTCTAATTGACATTCAAACCTCTTGATAACCTAATCCTTTCCCAGGCTTCTTACTTATACCTTACTCTCCCTGACACATATTCTTTAATCCAGTGACACTGGTCTCCTGACTATTCCATGAACAAGATACTTCATTTGGTCATTTTCTCTGACTGTCTCCCATGCCTGGAATGCTTTCCCTCCTCATCTCTACTTCCTGGTTTCTTTTAGGTCCCAACTAAAATACCATTTTCTACAGAAAGCCTTTCCTAACTCTCTCTTAATTCTGGTGCCTTCTCTCTTTTAATTATTTCCAGTCTTACCATCTGTAGCTTGATCGTACATAATAATTTGTTTCATGTCTCCCCCATTTGATCGTGAGCTCCTTAAGGCAAGAATTGTCTTTTGCCTCTTTTTCTATCCCCAGTACTTATACTTAGTAAATGCCTGACACATAGTAGGTACTTGATACATTTTTACTCACTGACCACATATTGATACCATATGAAAGTATCAAAACTGGTACCATATTCCAAAATATATGAAAAATAAGTGTGCTCTTTGTTTGGATCCAAAGGGATATGGATTTCCTCTCTATTATTGTAATGTTTGAGAATGAATTAGGTAAAAATGTCTGTCTGTCTACATCTTAACCAGAAAGATTTGACAAAAACCTACAGTTCCTCTGTTAGGTCAGTGTCCTAATTAAGCTGGTTGTGTGTGTGTGTGTGTGTGTGTGTGTGTGTGTGTGTGTGTGTGTGTGTGTGTGTGTGTGTGTGTGTGTGTGTGTGTGTGTGTTTCCTTCAAGAGAATGCAAGTTTCTTGAGGGCTGAACATGTTCTGATTTTGTTTTTATTTTCCCAGTAACCAACATATCTTACTTATAGTAGGTAGTCCATAAAGCCTTTTGAATTGAATTAAAATGTGTGTCTCATTTTAATTATCTTCATGGAAGAGTTGTTGATTGGTAGTATTGGGTTTCTTTTCATTTGATTTGACTTCCTTGGGTTTTCTTTATTGCAGCACACAGCTTGCCTCTGCAATGCTATCATTGCCTTGCTGAAAGTTCCCCTTTCATTTCAGAGATACTTTTTCCAGAAACTACAATCTACCAGCATTAAGGTAAGAATTTTCTTGGGATCCAAAGATTATGTGTTAAGTAAATTTGTTAAAAGCTTGAATTAGTTAATACTTTGCTATTAGAGTTACGGAAGTTGATTATTTTCTAATTATTTGGTAATGGCAGTTGTTCCTTGAGTGTCCTCTCTGCGGTGTCAATATACAGATAGCTCTGGCCATCTTTTTTGTCTGATACCTTGGAATGACATAGCAAAGGGGGGGGTATTGGAGGGACTTAGTTCTTCCCTTTTCGGTGTCACGTTAATGTCATGGGCTCTGGGACAAATGTGTGAATGAACCAGACCTTCCTCTCTGGTCGCATCCCAAGAAGCCTTCAGACAGGGTGACAGTTGCAGTTTTCTTATCTAAACAGCTTTCATAATTAGGTTTATGCCAATTCCATGATTAAGTGCACAGTTGAGCACAAGTTATCATCAGCACATTGCAGCCTGCTCACACTCACCATTCCTCTTGAAATTGCACACAGTTTTAATTCTTCAGAGATAAAGTTCCATGATGTGTAATCATGCATTATCACCAGGGGAATATTGGTGTTAAAATGATGAGTTTTAGTCCTGCAGAGAAATTGGAGGTTATTGAAAGCCCTGCACAATTTCCCAACCATAGTTCATCTTGCTCTCTTCTTCCTATTAAATTCTGGCTTAGTTTACAGTCCATCTCAAAGGCTATATGTTCAGATGGGCTAACTTAATAGCCTGCCTGTGCACCTGTGTGTCATATTCTGGGCAACATGCATTCTTTATCTAATTGGTTTCTACTGTGTGAATTACTAATCTTATTTCTTTTGATTGATTAATTAACAAATAAACTCCATTGCTAGGCATTCAAGATAGAAATACAATTAAACAATTCTTATTCTCCTTATGTTGTAATGGAGAAACAATAAGTAAATACATAAATATTTTTGTTGTTTTTCAGTCATTAAGTTGTGTCTGACTCTTCTTGACTCTGTGGACCATAGCTTTCCAGGCCTTTCTGTCTTCCATTGTCATTTGAAGTCTGTCCAAGTTAACATTTGTTGTTTCCATGATACTATCTATCCATGTCATCCTCTTTTGCCTTCAATCTTTCCCGATATCAGGATCTTTTCCAATGAGTTTCATCTTCTCATTATGTGGCTAGAATATTTAAGCTTCAGCTGCAGTATTTGGCTTTCCAGTGAATGAGCCTGAATTAATCTCTTTAAGTATTGACTGATGTGACCTTGCTGTCCAAGGGACTCTCAAAAGTCTTTTCCAGCACCACAATTCTAAAGCATTGATTCTGCGGTGCTCAAGTTTCCTTCTAGTCCAACTGTCACAACCATACGTTGCTACTGAAATCATAGCTTTAACTATACAGACCTTTGTCAGCAAGGTGATGTCTCTCCTTTTTAGTGTGCTGTCCAGATTTGCTAAAGCTTTCCTTCAAAGGAGCAAGCTTCTTTCAGTGTCATGATTGCAGTTACCACCTGCAGTGATCTTTGAGCCCAAGAATATAAAATCTGACATTGCTTCCATTTCCTGTCCCTCTATTTATTTGCCAGGAAGTGATGGGACCAGTTACCAAGATCTTAGCTTTTTGACGTTAAGCTTCAAGCCAGCTTTTACACTCTTCTCTTTTACCTTTATCAAGAGGCTTCTTAATTCCTCTTCACTTTCTGCCATCAGAGTAGTATCATCTATATGTCTGAGATTGTTAGTATTTCTCCTGGTGAATAAATAAAAGTAGTAGACCATAAGGTAGTTGAGAGTGAACATAAGGTAGTTTGAGAATGAAGGTTTGAGCAGTAAATTTCCAGAAAATTTCATATAGAAGGTAGCAATTGAGTAGTATCTTAAAACAAGAGTATGAGTCAGAGGTCAAGAGAAGGCTACATTCCTGGCAAGGGCTACATACCAGTAATATGGAGAATACATACCAGTAGTATGGAGAAAGGAAATGGTTGACTGTGAGGAACAGAGAGACCAGTTTAGCTGAATTGTAGAGTGTGGGAGGAGGAGTAATATCCAGTGTGTCTGGGTTGGGTCAGGTGTTAAAGGACTTTAAAAGCTAAATAGGAGTTTATATTTTGTCCTAGAGGCAATATAGGAAGCCATTGTAGTTAATTGAGTAGGGGAGGGACATCTACCTGATGGAAAATCACTTTGGCAGCAGTGTGAGGAATGGACTGAAGTAGATAATAGACTTGAGTCAGGGAAACTAGATAGGAGATTATCACAATAGTCTTAGATAAAAAGGTCCTGAACTAAAGTGATGAACTGTTTGAGTAAAAAGGTGGAGATACTAGAGATGTTGCAGAACTATAAATGGAAAGATTTGACAACTGATAATAAGTAAATAGTCAAGGGTAATGCCAAGATTACAAAACAGGAAAACTGCAAAAATGGTGATGCCTTTGATAGAAATAGGGAAGCTTGGAAGATAATGAATTTAAGATGATCCAGGATATTCAGTTTGCAATGTCCGGTAAGCAGTTACTGGCTATGTATATCATTGTGTAGGTATTAGAATAGTTCTGGGATAGTATGCAATTAGTACAATGTCATCTGCAAGCAGAAGTCCCAGGAGAACCTCACCATCCACAGATAATCCCTCTTGAATTTGGACTCTTCATAGGACATCTTTCATGGCACCATTGGTGAGCCTATAGCCCCTTCTTTCGGGCCTGATTTGAGTTTGGTAGAGGATCGTTGAACTAAGTTATCTCTGATTGTACTTTAACTAGGAATCTTGTATGATCTTAATATCTCAGGAGAGGAAGTTTGTTGGAGGAGAGTCTTTAAGGCTGCATTTTGTCCTATAAGATCAAATACCTTTTTCCTCTTCCTTTGAAATTATGAATTCAACAAAATCTTGTATTCTTTGGCATTTTTTAGTTCATTGTGCAACTGTGGAGATATGATCTGCTGTAGTAGTTAGTAAATGTCAGAACCAGGATTTGTATCCAGTACTCTTTCAGTTATTAAGGAGAGTTTGTGGAGGCAGCTAGATGGTGCAGTAGATACAGCTCCAGCCTTGGAGTCAGGAAGACCTGAGTTCAAATCCGGCCTCAGACACTTGTCACTTACTAGCTGTGTGACCCTAGGCAAGTCACTTAACCCCAATTGCCTCACCAAAAAGCCCCCCCCCAAAAAAGGAGAGCTTGTTAAATTATTAAACCTTTCCCAGTCTTCCTTAATCTTCATGCTTTCCTTCTGTTGATTATCTCCAATTTATTGTGGGTGGGTGTGTATCTTGTTTGTTCCTAGATGTTTACATGTTCCATTAGATTGTGAGCTCTTTGAGAGCAGAGACTATTTTTTGCCTTTCTATATATCCCTACTGCATAGCATAGACTAAGTGTTAATAAAATGCTGGATGACTAACTGTAGGAAATCGTCTGTGGAAACTTATCTAGTCTTTCATATTTTCACCGAGGATATCTTTAGTATATGTATAATAAATCAATCATAAAAATTTTACAGAAATGAGAAGGTAGGCTTATAGGTTGGTAGATACTGATGCCTTCTCTGTTGCCTCTTTTGGAGATACGGCTATCTTTATCTAATCTATCTCTTTTTTCCCCATTAGTTGGATATCCTCCTTTCTCTGAGCTCCTTTTAAGCCAATCTCTGCATGCCTTCAAAATTAATTCACCTCCAGGACAAATTTCTTTAATGTGTAGTTGATCTGGTCTGTCTCTTCTTCCTGATTTCATCTTATATATGTGTCTGTCTGTCTGTCTGTATCTGTGTGTGTATGTAATATATATATATGTAATATGATATATATGAATATGTAATATAGTGTGTCAGGTTGAAGTAATAAAGGTGTTAAGTGTTAGAGGCCAAATATAGTGCTTTAACTGTTAAGTCAACATGCATAATAAGCACCTGGTGCTAGGCACTGTGCTAACCTAACTGCTAGGTATACAAAGGAAGGCAAAAGACATTTCCTGCTCTCAGGGAGCTCATAGTCTAATGGGAGAGACAGCATGAAAACATTTAGGTGCAGACAAGATATAGATAGATACAAAGATAGATAGACAGACAGACAGACATGGTGAATGATGGTGCCCTTGACAGTAATAGAAAAGTTAGGAAGAGGAAGGGGTTTCAGGAGAAAGATAATGAATTCCATTTTGTGTATATTGAATTTAAGATGTATATGGGACATCCAGGTCGAGATATCCAGTAGGCAGCTTTCTTAATTTCCAAGAATGTTATCCAACAAATCTTTCCCCATTTTTGGGGGAGTACCTACCTTAAAGTCACTGAAGATCAGTGTGTATGCTTACTTGGTTTAGGCAGCAGGGTCTCTAGTAGAAAAAGTTTAAAAAGCCCTGGTTTAGAAGATCTTGTTTCTTCATCTTCTGCAACAGATATTTGCATGAAATAAAAAGAACATTTTTTAATTACTATTTTGTTTGTGTTTATCATAATTACTATAAGGTGAGATGTTCACATGATCTTGAAATGACATTTTTGTTGCCTTTGGATATTTCATAAATGAGCTCTGCAACTCTCTTTATTTGCTCTTCTGAGGAGAGCCTGAAAAAACATTCTTCCATTTAGTGACAACTTCTTTTGTCTTCTGATATAAGCAGAAGCTCTGTGTCAAGCAGGAAGGTTGATGTTGGTTGATTTCTTTTTCCACTACTTCACTACCCTCGCTTTGGCTAACTGGAACATTATAAGTGGCTTCACAGATTAAGGGCCATTTTTAATGTTTCTGTTTTGTTGAAACTGCCGGGACCACTAAAGATTTCATCAGTGAGTGGCCAGGGCCTGTCCACTCTTAGCTATTCGGTTTGGTCCTTAGACAGTAATCACAATCTTTGGCCAGTCACGTTCAGAGCTCTTCCATTGTGCTGTAAAGTTTGCCAGAGCTTTTGCTCTTTTGGCAGAGCCTTGAGGATTTGAAGATTATCTCCATGACACAGTTAGGTATCATAGAACCTGAGTGGCAGTCTGTGTAAAGCGCTTTACAATTATTATCTCATTTGGTCTTCGCTCCAACCCTGGAAGGCAGGTGCTGTTATTATCCCCATCTTACAGATGCTGAAACTGAGGCAGACCTTGTTAAGTGACTTGCCCAGGGTTACACAGCTAAAAAGTATCTGAGGCTGGATTTAAACTTAGGTCTTCCTGACTCCAGACCTGGCACTCTATTCACTATGCCACCTTGCTGCCCCCCAAAACACTATGAGTTGTAATCCATTAAGTATAAAGACAACTTGTCCTAATTGAAAGTATTAAAATGGACATGTGAAACATTTAAATTGTTATCTATACTATAATAACACATCTGTGTAAAATAGTCCAGTAATTTTGAGTCTCTTTGCAGTCATTCAAGGTTTTTGTGTTTAATATTGCTTAAGATTAAAAAATGTAGAACATTAAAATATGAGAACTAATGTAACTCATTCCCACTGAAAGCTTGGAAGGGTACACATGTACATTCTCTAGTAACTATTCCACTGTCCTACTCAAGCGAAACAGGTCTATTAAGCTTGCACCTATCTAGGATGTAGTTGAACAAAGACTTTTTCAAAAGGAGGCAAAGAAACACTCGATTGGTATTGTTTTGTCTCTTCAGTAAACTAATACAGATGTACTTATAAGTATGGAAACTTGTCTTGCACGATAACCTTGTGTTTGATAAATCCAAAGGTCCTAGCCATTGATGTAAGAACTCACTAGTATTTGACAAAAACTGGTGGGAAAACTAGAAAGTAGTCTGGCAAAAACCAGGCCTAGACCAACATCTTATACCATATACCAAGATAAGCTCAAAATGGGTACATGATTTAGATATAAAGGGTAATATAGGCAAATTAGTGGAGCATGGAAGAAATCAACTGTCAGATCTATGAATAGGGAAATAGTTTATTACCAAACAAGAGGTAGAGAGGTTCACAGGAGGTAAAAGGGATAATTTTGATTACATGAAGTTTAAAAGTTTTGCACAAACAAAACCAGTACAGGTCAATTTTTAAAAAGCAGGAAAGTTGGAGGGGGAAATCTTTGTAGCAAATTTCACTGATAAGGGGCTCATTTCTAAAATACATAGGGAACTGAGTCAGATTTACAAAAATAGGAACCATTCCTCATGTGATAAATGGTCAAAGGATATGAATAGACAGTTTTTAGAGGAAGAAATCAAACTTATCAATAGCCATATAAAAAATAATCTAAATCACTATTAATTGGAGAAATGTGAATTAAAACAACTTTTGAGATACAACCTCACACCCATCAGATTAGCTGAGATGACAAAAAAAGAAAATGACAAATGTTGGAAGAGATATTGGGAAATAGGTATGCTGATGCACTGTTGGTAGAACTGTAAAGTGGTCCAACCATTTTAGAAAGCAGTTTGGAACTATGCCCCAAAAGCTCATAAACTATATATATATTGTTTGACCCAACGGATACTCCTACTAGGTCTACATCCCAAAGAGATCAAAGAAAGAAGGAAAGAGTCCACATATATACAAACATATTTGTATTTATTTTTTAAGCAAAGAATTGGAAACTGAGTGGGTTGCCCATCAGTTGGGGAATGGCTGAACATGTTATGGTATATGAATGTGATGAAATATTGTACTGTAAGAAATGATGAAGGGGATGATTCAGAAAAAACCTGGCAAGACTTACATGAACTAATGCAAAGTGAAATGAGAAGAACCAGGAGAACAATTCATGTAGTAAAAGCAATATTGTATTGTATTTTGTTTTTTGTATTTTGAAAGACTTAGTAACTCTAAACGCACCACAACGCACCACAGTTCTGAAGGCTTCATGATGAAATATACTGTCCACCTCCAGATAGAGAGCTGATGGCTGCAGAGTGCAGATTAAAGCATATTTTCTTTTGGGGGGAGGGAGGATAGTTAATGTGGAAATTTGGTTTGTATATCCATGCACATGCGTAGGCGCATGCTCACATGCACACACATGTATTTGTAATCGTTTTTATTTTTCTTGTCTTCTCAATTTGTGGAAGACAGCGAAGAAAAGCATTTGGAATTGAAAATAAAATTGAATTAAAAAAAAAAACCTTGCTTTTCATCGTTGGAGTTGATCTTGATGTTGGTGTGTTTCAGCTTGCTCTGTCACCATCCCCACGCAACCCAACAGAACCCATTGCAGTCCAGAATAACCAGCAACTGGCTCTAAAGGTAGAAGGAGTGGTTCAGCATGGATCCAAACCAGGACTCTTTCGTAAAATTCAGTCTGTCTGTTTGAATGTCTCTTCAACATTACAGAGTAAATCTATACAAGACTATAAGGTAAGGAGAGATTCATTGCTGTTTTGAGAAGAAAATGCATTTTTCCAAATTGTACTTTAAGCGCCTTGTCAAAATCTCTGGGTGTGGATGACATTAATTTAAGGATCTCCTTCTGTTTTATTTTGCTTTATATTAAATCATTTTTAGCATTCACAAAAGGAAAACTTAAAACACTCATATAGCACAGGCAGGTTTAATGAAGCCTTCCCTTTTGGGTACATATGTAAGTTTGGAAGTCAGCTTATTAAGAATTCTATGATGTAAGTGACTATTAGCCTTAGTGGCAGCTACATGGCATCAGGGATGGAGTACTGGGCCTGAAGTCAGGAAGGTCTGAGTTCATATCATGTCTTAGACCAGAGGTGGGGATTTGTTGTGTGAAGTTTTGATTCAAAGAGCCGCACTTGTGAACCTAGAGGGCCGCATGTGGCCTTGAGGCCGCAGGTTCCCCACCCCTAGGCAAGTCACTTAATCTCTGTTTGCTTCTATTTCCTCCTATAAAATAGGAATAATAATAGCACCTACCTCCCAGGGTTGATGTGAGGATCAAATAAGATAATATTTGTAAAGCTCTTAGCACAGTGCTTGGCACATATTAGATGTTATATAAATACTAGTTATTAGCATTATTGTTAGCTAACTTAGAAAACTAAGCTTACTTTGCTAGCCAAAGCTGGGATTTAGGAGTGTCCTGAACTTAAGTTGTTTGTCCTCAGTGACCCTTTCCATGCCCCATTTTGACTGTCTACTCATAGAGAAAAGGAGCAAGAAACAATTACAAAGTTAGGATTGTAGATGTAATTGCCATAATGCCCAAATTAGTTGGGAATAGGGTTCATTTGTGGAGGCATAAGAATGCCTCCGTTAATGAATTTGAATTAGTAGTTTGAGAACCCAGGAGATTATAAATAAAAGACTGCGAAAGGAAGGAGCAGAAATGGAGTCACAGAGCAGTGCAGAGATGGGAAGGGCATTGAGCTAAGCACAAGGATGGATTCTGAAACTAACAAGAATACTCTGATTTAGGCTTTAACAGCTAGTACTGTTTCTACCACTAAAAAGATGTTTTCCACATCTGGAGAACTGATCAGCATATTCTCTGCGATAAAAACTAGCACCAATGAAGTACAAACTAAAGAAAAGTTGTAATAGTAGTATCCCACTATATATTGTGAAATCATACTTCCAAAAGCAAAACTTGTCACTGATACCATTTGGTTTTGAATTAATTAATGAGTTTATTCAGTGCTTACTTTGTGCTGTGGACAATGCTAACTTCTGGGGATACAGAAACAAAGATAGGCCCTTCCCTAAAGGGCTTACATTCTGATAGGGAATCCTACACCTGTTAGGGGAGTGGGTGGGCCAGGAGCAGGTGTTTTGGTTTGGAAAGTGTTTGGAGTAATGAGTGTAGCCTTAGTAAAGTAGATTGACGTGCCCTTTCTAATAGCCTCTGGAAGTACTGATTTGATTATGGTTCCAGACTTGGAAAATAGAGGGGGAATAGTGACACTCGGAGGATACTTCTACTCATAAGGCAGTAAAACATGGTTGGAGCAGTCATTCATCAATCAGGACCTCAGAGACCCCAGGAGAGTAGTTCTTGAAAGAGTTCAAGAGACATGCAGATTACACTTAATCCTGCCCTGTCATTTTTTCGTCCTCTGGAGAGCCAGATATTAAACATTTATCAGCATATTCTTAGTTCTAAACTTGGAGTAGGGAAGACTGGAGTTTAAATCAAGCCTCTGACAGTTATTAGGTATGTGACCCTGGACAGGTTCCTTGGACAGAGACCCTGGACTCTGTGCCTCAGGCAACTTCTTAGGGTTTATTTAAGTCATAGACAATTGTGATCTGTTGATTAAGGGAGTTCTGACATTTTTGTAATAACATTGGAAAACAGTATATTTTATCCAAAGAAATATGCCCTACAAGTTGACATGTGCTTAAATTTTTTTAAAATTTAACTGTAATACAAGTTCTCATAGAGTATTTTGCAAATTGATTATTATAATTCATCTATTTAATGTACCTTAGGAGAAATAAAATTACAGATCATTGACTTATCTTCAATATAAATTGAGGCTTTAGAGTAAACTTGTACTATCAAATGTGCAGTATAACCAACTTAGCAATAATAATTTGCCCTTAACATTTTCTATCTTGGGAGATAGACTGTATTTTTTAAGGCAAATTCCTTCACTCCAGCCCAGCCACAAAGAAAAATGGTCATACCCTTGATCTTGCCAAACTCACAAAGGTGCCATTTCCATGTTTATGAACTCTGAAATTCCCTTATCTGAACATACTCTATTGGAATTCCTTCCACCCCTCCTTCTTCCTACCAAAACCAAACCTTGTGTTTCAACCACAGTGTGACCTATAATTCCTCAACCTCTCTTTTCTCTCCTAGGCCATATCCCCTTCATTAGCCCCACTCTCCTCCTTTTACCACCTTGACTCCTTGGTGAACCAGTTTGGCTCTAATTGTCTTTTCTTGAGTCCTTTCCTCCCCTTATTATATCACCAGTCATGCCTTATCAAGACTTATCCTTGAATTACTCCTCTGCCTTCACTCCTTTGCACCTACTGCTGATTGAAGGTAAAAAGTCATGCAGCCTTGCTGACTTATTCCACCACAGCTCTATATTAAATAACCTCAACGTAGCCCTCATTGGAGGTGGTGAGGTGAGGCATGGTGGTAGCACCCCTGTGCAAGCATTCATCACCTCATGCTTGGATTGTTGTAGTAGTTGTTCTGCCTGCCACAAGTACATCTCCATTTTAGTCCATCCTCTACTTAGCTGTCAAAAGGATCCAGTCTTTCTGTCTGTCTGTCTCTCTCTCTCTCTCTCTCTCTTACACACACACACACACACACACACACACACACACACACACACACGCACATTTCCATTCTTCTTATACCTTTTTACCACTTCCCCTTTGCAAAATACTCTATGACCCGTCCGCAAGAATCTCTGTCTCCCAACTCTGGCACATTTTCATTGTCCCCCATTCCTGAACTCTCTCCCTCCCTCCTCTCTACCTCTTGGCTTCCTTCAAGTCTCACCTAAAATCCCACCTTGTACAAGAAACCATTCCCAATCCTTCTTAATAATCTAGTGTCTTCCCTCTGTTGATTACTATTTATCCTATATATAGCTTGTTCATAGTAGTTACTTGCATGTTGTCTTCTTCATTAGATTTTGAGCTCCTTGAGTGCTGGGATTATCTGTTGCCTTTTTTTTTTTTCCTCCAGTGCATAGCACAGGGCCTGGCATATAGTAGGTACTTAAATGTTTATTGACTGACAGACAATATGTAATAAGAAAGTGTGATTTGGGAAATGGAAAAGTTCCAAAGTTAACTGGGGGTAAAAGGGTGTGGGAGGGAAATCCTCATATTTAAATGATTAAACTGAAATTCAAAACAGCTGGCAAGACATACAGTTGAATATTAAACTTGGTGTTATGCTGTCTTACATTCTGTTACGTTTAAAAGTCTATTAAAATCAATGTAGTGGTTTTACCTTATTCTTCAAAGTTTCTATTCACAAACTACAAAAAGAAATTAGGTCTCACTCAAATGCAAGAGACTTGTAGAAAACATTGGGAGTACTCAGCTAGTTGTATCTAATGACAATCTGACTAATTTCTGTATTCCAGATACCCATTGACAGTATAACCAATGAGATGGAGCAGAATGTTGAACCACACAATGATTATTTCAGCACTCAGTTTTTGTTGAACTTTGCTATCCTTGGAACTCACAACATCACAGTTGAGTCTTCTGTGAAGGACTCCAATGGAATTGTATGGAAGACTGGACCTAAAACCACCATCATCGTGAAATCTCTCGAAGATCCTTACTCCCAGCAGGTTCGCCTCCAACAACAGCAAGCACAGCAGCCCTTGCAACAACAACAGCGTAATGCATATTCTCGGTTTTAGCCACCAGATGTTCATTTATAAGAGAACTTTTGATTTCCCTCTTCTGTTTTTTTAAAAGGCATGGGAATGGGAAAAGGAGGATAATATCTTTCCTGCCTACCTCATCAATTGAGAATAATGTACATCAAAAATTTCTAAAGCACTATAGAGATGTCTAAGGCAGTTGACTGAAATATTTAGGTTTGCCATATGGATGATTCTCTAAATTTAAATTTTATCCATATGTGTGTAATTTCCTTGAGGAAAGGCTAGGTAGTAAAGGAAAGAGGTGGTAAATAGGGTCTCTGGGAATTTTTTAGTTCTTTTGTGTGTTTGGGTTTGTTTTTTGTTTTGTTTTTATTTTTTGGTTAATGTAAACAGGCCTATCCTAAATTTTATGCTGATTTTTCATAATGATTTGCATTCTATATGACTCCTGTTTTTTGTGAGTTGGCTATATATTGGTTTTGTTTTGGAGGGAGGTCTTAAAGTCATTGAATATATAGGACTTCTTTATCTAGTGAGAATGCTCCTTATACACTAAAACCTCAGTTAACTCTGGTACTCAGGGAATTGGATATATGTTTTAGTACTTATTGAAAATCTTTCAAAAATATTCCCATGCCTTTTCACAGTATAATGAAGATAATTTTTTGACAAACCATTTTGGTAAAGTATGTATCCTATCATGTTAGAATTGCTTTTATTTGGACTCGTGTTTTCAAAACAAGTCTGGATCTAGAGCCAGGCATACCAATTCTTACAGCTTGGCAGCTTGTAAATACAGTACACCCAAGTACCACTTTTCATTGGGAATCTACATTTTGGTAAACATTGTTATCCATATATGCATTGTCTATTTTGTGAGTTACCTATGACAGATTTTTAATATCAAGTTTACCTTACTCTGTCACGTGGCATATATCTAGGCTGCCTCACTATTAACAGTGTGCTGAGAAAACAAAATAATTTTGACGTTAACTATAAACCAAAAGGAATTAAAATGACTAAGAGAATGCTTTGTATATAACTGGTATCTAATTGAAATGTTTATTCAACAAAAGGTAGATCGGCGTCAAATTTTTTGTTTGTTTGGTTTTTTGGTGAGGCATTTGGGGTTAAGTGACTTGCCCATAGTCACACAGCTAGGAAATATATGTCTGAGGCTGGATTTGAACTCAGGTCCTCCTGACTCCAGGGCCAGTGCTCTATCCACTGCGCCACCTAGCTACCCCAGCTTCAAATTTTTTAAAAAAATCAAAGAATTACTTTGCAAAGCCACATAGAAATCAGTGAATTATCTGTACAGCTCTACCCCTCCATTCAACAAGTTTAATTAAATTCACCAAATTTTAAGTGCCTACTATGGGCTAGGCTCTAGGGATCAAAAAGAAGAAAAGAAACAGTCCCTTCCCTGTTGGAGCTTAGGATTCTCCTGGAATGAAGAATAAAAGATGTCCACAAGTAAGTAAGGACAAAGTAAAACAGCAATTTGAAGAGCAAGACAGCACTTGTAACAGAGATAAAATAAGTTATCAGGGGCTGTGTTGGCTGAGGGCATTCTAGGTGAAGCCATAGAATGAATAAAGATGAGGACCTGTGGGGCTGAGTTGACATATGCTGTAGCCTGGGCTGACATGGGAGTAGAAAGATTAGCTCTAGGGAAGGGAGAGTATTAGTTTTTATCAGTGTTGGTAATATCAGTGTCATAGTTCTAGAGCCAAAAGGGAAATGTTAATCATGAGAGTCTAATTCACAGTTGGCATAGGTGCAAATTGGTATAGTCATTCTGAAAAGCAATTTGAAACTATACTCCCAAAGTCACTAAGTTTGTGTATACCCAGTAATACCACTACTAGGACTATATACCAAAGATAGCAAAGAAAGAGGAAAAGGACTTATGTATAAAAGTATTAATAGCACCTCTTTTTACAGTGGAGAGAAGCTAGAAATTAAGGGGACGTCCATCAATTGGAGAATAGCTGAATAATGCTATTATCCTGTAAGAAATGGTGGGAAAGATGTTTTTGGAGAAACCTTGGAAGGTAGAGTGAAATAAGCAAACCCAGAATAATTTATACAGCAATATTGTAAAGTGATATTGTTAAGAATTCTGATCACTGCAATGACATGCCATAGTGGACTGATAGTAAAGCATGCTTCCAGCTTTCTGATGTGATGATTTAAAGGTACAAAATGAAACATTTTTTTTTTTAACATGGTCAGTGTGAAAATATGTTTTGTTTGACTACACATATTTGTTACAAGGGATTTGTTTTGTTTTTACAGTGGGAGAGGAAAAGAAAATATTAATTGAAAATAAAATAATTTTTTTAAAAAACTGAAAAATATGTGTATATGTGCACACATGTGTTTATATTTGTGTGTGTGGTTTTTTTTGTTTTGAGTTCCAGATTTTCTCCCTATCTCTCCCCTTCCCCCACCCCAAGACAGCATGCATTCTAAATACACCTTCCCCCAATCTGCCCTCCCATCTATCACACCCCCCCTTCTCTTATCCCCTTCCCTTTCTGTCTTCCTGTAGGGCAGGATAGATTTCTATACCCCATTGCTTGTATATCTTATTTCTCAGTTGCATGTAAAAACAAGTTTTAACATTTGTTTTTAAAACTTTGGGTTCCAAATTCTCTCCTTTCCTCCCTCCCCACCCACCCTCATTGAGAAGGCAAGCAACTCAATACAAGTTATACATGTGTAGTCATGCAAAATGCTTCCATAATAGTCATGTTGTGAAAAACTAAGTATATTTCCCTTCATCCTATCCCACCCCCATTTATCTATTCTTTCCTTTGAACCTGTCCCTCCTGGAAAGTGTTTGCTGCTGATTACTCCCTCCCCCAATCTGCCGTCCTCTCTATCATCACCCTCTCTTTTATCCCATTCTCCCCTATTTTCCTGTAGGATAAGATAGATTTCCATACCCAATTGCGTGTGTATGTTATTCCCTCCTTAAACCAAATCCTATGAGAATAAGATTCACTCATTCCCTCTCACCTTCCCCCCACTTCCCCTCCACTGTAAAAACTTTTTCTTGCCTCTTTTATGTGAGGTAATTTACCCCATTCTACCTCTCCCTTTCTTCTTCTCCCAGTATAATTCTCTCTCATGCCTTAATTTTATTTTTTAGATATCCCTTCATCTTCAACTCACCCTGTGCCCTCTGTCTCTGTCTCTGTCTGTCTTTCTGTCTCTGTCTATGTCTCTCTCTGTCTTTCCCTCTCTCTATATATATATGTATATACACACACACACACGCACACTTTTTTCCCCCCTCCAATTACCCTAATACTGAGAAAGGTCTCATGAGTTACAAATATCATCTTTGCATGTAAGAATGTAAACAGTTCAACTTTAATAAGTTCCTTAGTACTTCTCTTTCCTCTTTACCTTTTCATGCTTCTCTTGAATCTTGCATTTGAAAGTCAAATTTTCTATTCACCTCTGGTCTTCTCATCAAGAATGCTTGAAAGTCCTCTATTTCACTGAATATACATTTTTTCCCTTTAAGGATTATACTCAGTTTTGCTGGGTAGGTGATTCTTGGTTGTAATCCTAGTTCCTTTGACCTCTCGAATATCATATTCCAAGCCCTAAGATCCCTTAATGTAGAAGCTAATACATCTTGCGTTATCCTGATTGTGTTTCTATAATACTTGAATTGTTTCTTTCTGGCTGCTCACAATATTTTCTCCTTCACCTAGAAACTCTGGAATTTGGCTGTAATATTCCTAGGAGTTTTCCTTTGGGAATCTCTTTCAGGAGATGATCAGTGGGTTCTTGCCATTTCTCTTTTACCCTCTGGTTCTAGAATATCAGGGCAGTTTTCCTTGATAATTTCTTGAAAGATGATGTCTAGGCTCTTTTTTTGGTCATAGCTTTCAGGTAGTCCAATAATTTTTAAATTATCTCTCCTGGATCTATTTTCCAGGTCAGTTATTTTTCCAGTGAGATATTTCACATTGTCTTCTAGTTTTTTCATTCTTTTGGTTTTGTTTTATAATTTCCTGATATCTCATAGAAGCATTAGCTTCCATTTGCTCCATTCTAATTTTTACGGAATTATTTTCTTCAGTGAGCTTTTGGATTTCCTTTTCCATTTGGCCAGTTCTACTTTTGAAGGCATTCTTCTCCTCATTGGCTTTTTGGACCTCTTTTGCCATTTGGGTTAGGCTATTTTTTAAGGTGTTATTTTCTTCAGTATTTTTTTTGAGTCTCCTTTAGCAATCTGTTGACTTGTTTCTCATGATTTTCTTACATCACTCTCATTTCTCTTCCCAGTTTTTCCTCTACTTCTCTTACTTGCTTCTCAAAATCCTTTTTGAGCTCTTCCATGGCCTGGGACTGATTCATATCTTTTTGGAGGCTTTGGATGTAGGAGCTTTGACTTTGTCATCTTCTTTTGGTTATGTTTTGATCTTCTTTGTCACCAAAGAAAGATTCTGTGGTCTGACTTTTTGCACAGTTTCCTCATGAACCCAGTCTGCTTCCAATGTGGAGAATGTACTGTCCCAAGCTCCAGGGGTTTTATGCAGCTGTTTTCAGAGATACTTCTAGGGACTTGTAAATTTTTAGTTATTTCAAAGTTGTATGATCAAAGGCGAAGTGTTTATTCCTTTCCTGGCCTGTGCTGTGGTCTGTGAGTGATCACAAGCACTCTTTTCTTCTTTGAAACTGTGAGGAGGATTCCCTTTTCATTGCCACCACAAGCTCCACCATGCCAGCACTCCTTTCCCCAGGATCGCCACCCAGAACTGCAATTCAGATCCAAGCATGGGCAAAGCAAGAGAATCCTACCTCAGCACCTTCAAAGAGATCCCTGCAATCCCTCTCTGATCAGCCACTTGATCCCCCCACTGTTTGTGGGCCAAGAACTTCGGAAGTAGCCACTGCCACTGTGGCTGCCACCCTGGGCTGCACTAGGGCCAGTGCTGGACTATGTCCTTCTTTCATCGAGGTCTGACAGACCTTTCCTACTGACCTTCTAAGTTGTCTTTGGTGTTTATGGGTTGAGAAGGCTGAAAACTGCTACAACTGCTAGTGATTCAGTTCCCTGAGGCCTTCTCCAGGTTTGAAGAGGCCTCGTCTTTGCCTGTGGGGCTCATGCTGAACTGTGCCCCTCTCCCGGCCCAGCACAACAGACCTTTCCCATCAACCATCCAGGTTGTTTGGGGCTGGAAATTTTATTTCACTCTGTTTTTTTGTGGGTTCTGCTGCTCTAGAATTTGTTTAGAGCGACTTTTTACAGATATTTGGAGGGATTTGGGGGAGAGCTCAAGCAAGTCACTGCTTTTATTCTGACATCTTGGCTCCACCCCCCGTGTGTGTGTGTGTTTAACACAAT